TATTTGCGATTAACACTGAAATGAATAAGTGATATGATTCTATTTGCTTCAAAAGAGATTAGGTGCAGATTTGGTCAAATTAGGTGCATTCTCCAGATAGCCCGTTGTGAAAACGGCTAATGTGAACGAGAAGGGGCCACTGCACCTACATGGTGTGACAGCCACTGCCCAGTGCCCACTCCCATTTTCTTCTCGGAATCAGTCACGTGCGTCGTTTGCTTGTCACGTGACGTGAAAACCGGGCTGACAAACCCATGGCATTGTTCTTATGGCGGGCCGCCACATGGCGTAAAAACTAGACCGAAGCTGACTGAAGCAAACACGTGTCACTTGCCTGCTTCACTTCCTCCTTCACATCACACTAGAGGGCATTGTTTTACCAAATTTGGTGAGGAATTGGTTACTGAAGTACCATTAACCATACCCCGAAACGGCCTTAGCGAGAATTGAGAAACCAGGCTGTGTTGCAGAACGCAGGTATGCTGCAGACTAACACATAAGTAAATTCTAGCTATTGGCAACATTGCGGTGCCCATATAAACGTCGACATCTTCATATGGCACAATTGTTTTTTTTTGGGGGGGGGGGGTAAAATATATAGCGCAGGATTTATCACTACCCTTATTTGACATATTCCGATATAACTGTGACACACACAGGCCATTCAGTACCTATCGGCAGTAGGCTATAACACTGATATAAGAAGGCGAATCGAGGAGAGCTTCAGCCTCCACGGTGCCATCAAAATAAAATTTGTGGGGTGAATGATCGTTGTTGACCCGGGCGGATAATGTTCAGTGTTGGCCCGCAGGTTCATTAGCGTCTGACCACCTCTCCCTGCGCTCGTACATCACTAAGCAATAAGCATGTCGGACGTCTCGCAATGGTGTCGAACCGGGCCGTTTAAAAGTCAGCAATATAATACACCGCCAACACACACCCCAACACACAGACATACCCGCCCTTGGATGCCCTTGTCCTCTGTATCTACTCTGTAGAAATAATAATTATAAGCTCGGGACGTCGCTGGCCGGAATTCCACGTCGATTTACAAGAGTTCAGTATACCCCGTAACTGCCACCCTGCAGAGCCACAGAGAAGGCGGCGGGGTGTGGCGGAAACACGTCACCCCCGGTGGACCAGTCAATGGCAGGCTGGCGGCCAGCCACTGGCACGAGCCACTGGCCATGCATCACGACCGTTCCGCGCGGACGGCACCGTGCGGCTGGTGTGGGCAGCACGGCTGAATGAAACGGACAGCTGGCATCAGAGCACGGCACGGACGGGCGGCACGGCACGGACAGCCGGCACGGACGGCACTGATGGTACGGCTGAATGAAACGGACAGCTGGCATCAGAGCACGGCACGGACAGGCGGCACGGACCGCCGGCACGGACAGTTAACACGGCACGGACCGCCGGCACGGCACGGACAGCTGTCAGGCCAGAGCACGGCACGGACAGTTAACACGGCACGGACAGCTGTCAGGACAGAGCACGGCACCCTGCACGGACCGCCGGCACCGACATTTAACACGGCACGGACCGCCGGCACGGCTGGCACGGCGCTGCCGTGCGGCCGTCGACCCGATCGCTGACCCGAACGGTGCCGGGCTAGGCCCGTCCGCACCGGTCGTCGCTCCCGCCTGAAGATACCTACCCTCGGATACAGATCGGAGTCTCACTGACTGGATGTGCTGGTAATAGCTAGTTATAATTAGCGCCTGAGAAGAATCATGCATGTGGGTTTCTGATATTGATATTCGGAAGCTTCATTTCGGTTGGTCCATGGATCATTCAATAGAACATTCAATACAGGGCAAAACGACTCTATGGGGCTATTATTATAATGAAAGGTAGAGCCCATCTCACAAAGTCACGACTCTTGTCTCTTGGGCGTCGATCTGACCCGCTACATGCCTACGTTTCCCTGCACACATCTACTTAGCGTCGCACTTAGCCGCGGCATCCAAAGGTCAAACGCACACCGGCTAAGTGCGTTCGATTCTGGCGAATTCGGCAGCGAGGGCGTTCCAAAGATCCACGAGCGTGGCAGCGAGATATGCATAAAGTACACATGTTCGAACTTCGCCATCTGACGTGCCGAGCTCCACCCAAACTTCACGTCTCGCCGCCCGAGAATCGATACATGGCGCCGAACTAGGGACTATCGTGTGCTGCATACTGTCCCAGCACCTTAAGAAGACGGCCAGCTTCCGTTATGGGGAGGGGGGGGGGGGGGGTATGTCTGATTCGCGACGAATATAAGTAAAGGCAATAGCCAAGTTCAGAAGACTCTCGTCTCCTTCGTATATGTGGGAAAATGGTACATACATACCTATATTTTATCAGGCACGATTCAATTGGGTATGACTATGTAACCTTCTGGAGGCATCCTGACGCTTGTCCAATCCGATGGTCATGAAATTCGATAGAACTATAAAGTAATGGAGGTAAATGAACCTATGAAAAAGAAAGACAAATAGCACTATCAAACGACAGATCGGGAGTGAAACTCTGCACCGGAGGCTCTGTGACTCGACTTCTCTCAGCCCTCAGGGGGGACTGTTTCAGAGAATGTCACAGTCACGATGACTGTCCTGGCCCGCGCCTGCGAACAATGCCAGGTTGGGTACACAATAGGTACACATGGCCCTACATACGTTGCACTTGCAGACAATGCATGCGTTGAACATATGGCGGTTCGTCACTGTGAACCGTACGTAGGTATGTATGTCACGTTATACGATACGTTTATTGCCGACATGGAGATGGAGATGAGTTGGATTGCCTCCCGAATCAAACTCCGATGCAGTCTATACGAAGTAAGCATACATTATGCATATTGAGTACACATCCGCCTATTTCACCATCACGGCAACATCAGATGCTCCGCTGTCCCAGAGAGCGGCCACAATGGCTGGAGCGTCACATTGGAGCGGGTTCGCGGCGCGCTGCCTGCCTGCTGAGGCGGCGCACAATGCCCGTCCCCGTGTCGCACCAGGGCGCTTCGGAAGTCATGAGATGCGCATCTCTCATGAGGTACGCATTACGCCGCGTAGGAAGAACATCGGCTGGCGAGTCCGCGCTCATGTGAACACTCCTGTAGATGCATACGTGTACGCGCACATGCATACCTTCCAGTTGTAGGTAATCTAAATATATTCATTATTCTATGCATTGGGGCAGGGCCCGTAGAAGGGCATGCCTAGGGGGTCAGTGGTTACATAACGGCACATGCCGAGAACTTTGGAACTGAGCGGCAAAGTCAATTCAGGTGTCGGTAAATGTGGAAATGAAGCGTAGCGCCTCTTCGAAAACAAAATTCGAATCTCTTGGTGGTATGGATGGAGCATCGCTGATCGACTGAAGCCGGCACAGGCGTTCCTAAAATCCAACGGCGAAGGAATTGGAGGCTATAGGTAATAGGTATGCAACCCGCACTACACACGACGCGCTGGATAAAAGAGCATCTGCGCGCTGGCAATGGAATTACATAGTCCTGACCGTCACTTTACTTGTTCATAATCATCGGCCTTTCTGTAGCGCTCTCTCACTGAACGCATATCTTCCACAGGCCAGCAAATATGGACACATGGTGCTCCTTGCGCAAAATCCTTATTCTTGAGCCGTCTACCAAAAAGCCTTCCATACCTAAATATTCCTAAAATAGCCTTGAAGACTCGTGCCCGCTGGGTAAGCGCTCAGAAGTCAGAACCTTTCAATAAATCAAATACCATCGGCTCCCGGAATATTCTTTCTTTGACGAGGATGACTGGTGACTACCGGCTATGATTGATGACAAATCCCGGACCAGTCGGCGCTGGAGGGTCCGAGCCAGGGTATATTGAGGGTCCGAGCCGCGCCGGATCCTCGTATGGAGCCTGGGGACGAGGAATCGGCCGGACAGACACAGGACTATAGACGGACACATCGCTAACAGATGGCCGGCTCCCGGAGATGAGTCGATAGCGCGACCCCCAGCCACCGGCGATCATACGAGAACACTGCGCGCGGCCGGCCTCGTCCAGAGGAGCTCTCAGGCGGACGCTGCATGGCAGGGGCTACCGGCTGGCCTTCGCCGCGCGCCGTGCCGTTACAGGCAGCCCCTGGCTACGGGACAGGGTTGGGCACGGCGGCGGGGGCACCGCGCGGCAGCGCTCCTCGTGACTGGGGAGGCGATAGGATGAGTGGAGACTTGTCTGTTATTGCACAACCATGAGGTATGACCGCGGTAGCATGGGTAGCAACAGGCTTCCTTACAGACGGTCGGTGTATAAATAGAACGGCGGAACGGCAGGGCACTTTCCAATAAAAACGCCCTATGCTACCTTTATCACACATTTCAAACGAAGAGGCTAATTCTCACGAAAATGATGGAAGATCTCGGTGTTGGTACAGGTAAAGATACGTATAAAATGTTCGCACTCGGATCCTGCGCAGTGCGCATTACCTTACCAGATTTCATTATTTTTGTTTCGTAGCGTAACTCAAACATCACGTCGTAGGACCAAGTGCCACGCAGTTCGCTTCTTGACGCACATCTGCGCCAAGATGTACTGATAAGCGCAACCAGGAGGCGGGCGACGCACTTGGCGGCCAACATCGAACGGTGACGCACTATGCAGATTTTCATTCATTTTTAAACCAATTGCTGCTCAGTCCGTAAACACGTCAGGCTTGCCGAGCAACGTTTGTAGACCTTCGATTACAAAGTTCCTGAAAGACAGCCGGAAGTCCATTCTGTGGTACATATACGTGGTACAATGGTACATACATGTGGTACATAGTTCATACTAAATACGTCTCGCTGTACCATTATTCTCGGTTTTAAAAAGTCAACTCATTGCGAGTTGCGACCACCGCTTCACGGGCGATTGGGTGGGATATTCTCGACAGGCCGATGTTCGTTCCCAGCCGGTCCCTTCCGCTAGCAGACGGCCATCCCTGACCATCCCACGTCTATCCTATCCAAAGCTCACCCATCACAAAACACCATCTACAAAAACAGTGTATTCGAAGGCCGTCATCCACACAGGTCGACAGCAGACCAACAGCGAGCCGGGGGGCAGCAACTGCGCCAACCGCATGTGGCCATCCATACAAAACGCACGGTCCAACAGGTACTTACATAATGGGGGAGCACGGGTCGGCGGAGAGTTGGACATGTCGCCAGTGGGAGATCCCGGCTCCGGACTTTCTCCCGAGGCTGTCGGTGAGGCGGTCACGGGCAGCCGGGTGGGAAACTCTCGGGTGGCTTCTGTTCGTTCTCAGCCGCTCCCTTCCGGTCAGACCGATATCGCCGCCTTCAGTATCGCGGGCTGTGCCTCTGGCGCCAACCTTCCGCACCCCCAGACACACAGATACACAGTCTTCCGGGAAACGAGGCCACGTCCGAGTCACATGGCACGCCGGAAGTCAGCCAGTCGTCAGAAGTGGAAGTTGCCATGAACATATGGCGTGGTCCCTCTCAGCTGTTACATCTCGCATTAGGTACAAACCAGGCGCTGTTCTGATCTACCCAAAGCACAGGTCGAGCCAACATTCCTATTTAGGCGTTACTTCAACGCCCATTTTACCAGCGCTCCAAGAACGGCCAGGCGCCAGCTATTTGGAATCCATCGCATGCTTCCCCGGGACCCGAGGCGCCGCCTAGATGAGGAAGAGCTGGTTGGCCACTGAACAGAGCCCGAGGCGCCGTCTAGATGAGGAAGAGCTGGTCGTCGGCCACCATCAGCTGGTTGGCCTCCATCATGCGATCGGTGGCGGCCTCCACCTCCCCGGTGGTGAAGGGCCGCGCTGCGTGCTGTTCGGCCAGGTAGGAGCGCACCTCGGCCATCGGCAGCGTCTGCGTGCGCCGCTCCTTGAGAAGGTTCTGCAGGGACGTCTTGAACACGGAGAACCTGCAGGGACGGAGAGAGCGGTGTCAGCATCGGCAGGGAAAAGATGCGGTCACGAGATGCTGCCTTGGTGAAGGCGTGATTATAAAGACAATACGTGCTGGATTTGACCGTGATGGTCAGTTATGTGTAAGACATTCTCAATAGTGCCATGAGCTTTTCCACACAGAACATAACTAGATAACTAGAATAACAAACTACAGCGTGCTTAAAGGGACTATCCCACCTTTAACATGGGGTTTGAGTTGAGATAGCCAAGTTTGCGGCGAGGTTCAGAAACCACTATCTATCTAGGTTGCAACCCCCGCGGCCTCTTAGTGTTGAAGAAATTCGTTCCCTTCATTTGAAAATGGGCCTTGCGCAAGGCCCTATCTTCAACATGGAGCGACCGTTAGTGTGACGTCACCTCGTTTAGTCATTCTGATTTAAATGGGTTTGTTCTTTGAAAAATCGCTTAAAACTTGGTCTGAACTTTGTTGTGGTGCCTACAGAGTAAAAATAATCAGCTTTATGACAGCAATGTGGCCTGGGGAAGGAGGTAATTTTGGGCTGTGACGTCACATATTTGAAAGTTTGTGTTTGGAATATGGGAAGCCTAAGATGTTTAATGAAAAATAAATGCCAGAACCGTGTTCCTGGTCATCCAATCTTTAAAGTCGGGCACAATTTAACTGGTTTTAACAACATTTTAGAAGGTGGGATAGTTCCTTTAACTAACAGGTGCAAGGAAAAAGGATAGACACAAGGGAGGAAGAAAATAGAAACGATATTGCATAACACTCTTGAGTAACACTTAACTTATTCAATGCCAATACCCAATAGAAGTGATACACTGAAAATAAATTATCTTTTTACAAGCAGAAAGTAACTTAACAACCCTCGTTTTCTGGAACGTTGACGACCCATCCTATAGAACCATGTGATGCCTGGGACCGTAATCAGCAAAACAGGCTTACGACTCCTGGAGCTGATTCCTAGACCGCATTAAGAAGTCGGGTTCAGGAGAGCCTGTCAGTTTTCGCACGGGTCTAGACGCTTACCGGGTATACGACGCTTTTTATGATCATTTGGGACACTGCTGCGAAAGTTATACTGTGTGGGCTTACCGTGTACACGTGCGTCAGGCCCACTAACGACTCCTTGCTGCGAAAGGTATACTGTGTGGCGTGCGGATAACTGAGGGACTGTTCAAAAGAATTTAAATCAAGTTTGAAATTCAATTTAATGCTGTTGGTGCAAGTCATGTATTCGTATAGCTGAACGCATGTTTTCGTTGCTATTCGCTCAACATATACATAGTTCCAGTACATAGTTTCAGGGAAGCACGCACGTGCTGCACCGTGTCAGCTGGTTGTACACGTTTGGTACGTTGAAGGCAATACTCTACGTCAATGAACCCATCAAAGATAGAAGCGTAGAAACTCCTTTACTGGAACAGCACAGCGGCTTTTATTGAGCGACGGCGTCAGTTTTAGAGTCGGCACATTAGCAACCCGAACATTCTCACCACACCGCAGAGCGAATGTCAAGCAGTCGATCTGTACCGTTTCACCAGAATAGCTCAACGGTCCCGGACGCTGCCCACACCCGATATAGACCGGAGGAGCTCTGACGGGAATTGTCGCCGTCCTGCCGGAGTCACCATTCCGGTGTAGATTGAATCGTTGCGCCCCAAATACATGTATTGAACCTCAATGGACATCCGTGAGATCGAGATCAGTGGTTCAGCGAGGTAGGTACGGCAGAGAGCAAATGTGAAATTGTGTCCCTTATTGTCGACAGAACTCGAGACTCGAGGTTGTTAGTGGTTTGGTGAAGTTTTTGCATGTTGATATTTTTCATTACATATTGCTTACACACTTCCAGTAAAAGAGAATGAAGAAGTTATTAAGATGGAAAATGGATCAACGTCACCTTGAATAATATATAGCATTTGGGCAGCTACCGCTCCCAAATCTTCCTCATCCAGCGGGCGATCTCTTGGTCAGATTATCGTAATGAAGCTGCAATAATTTGTGGACATCCCCAAAATGCTCACATAAGGTTCATACCAAATAGAAAGACCTCATGCAAGCAGCCTTCTCAAATGCTTTTTTAAGTACACTACCTCACACTAAGAATCCCATCCTAATCTCGAAGCTTGACTAGAATAGGTAGTTTATATTCAGTCGAGTCCGTGTGCTGGCTACGACCGACCTTCACATCAGGAGTCCTTCCAAGAGCCCTATTCACACACAGGTCTATAGATGAGCTGTTATTACGCGTCGCAGTGCCGTCAATACCTTGCTCCTGACGGCAAAGGCTCACTGCTGACGGAACTTTCCAAGCAGGCAAGATCGTCACAGCCCCAGAAGATCCGGGAGTTAAACTGACACTAACTAAATAGCGGTGTAGCATTTATACAACCTGAGACTTCCCAAAATAAAGCCACTCCCCACCTGCACAACTGGCAACAAAGGACGGACTTTTGGGCAGGGAGCTACGCTGAGAAAGGGCAAGTGGGAGGGACTGAAAAATAAGGTAACAATAAAACGTGAAATCAGTTGGAACCCAACGAACGAGTCCAATTTTTCCTCTTGTGTGGCTATAGTCAGTTACCATTGCCCAGTATTCCAGGGTATTTGCGAACGCAGAGCGTCTATTTTGGGCGAATAAGCGGAAGATTTATTATCACCTGGCATTCAGGCCGGATGGCCGCTATACCGGTCGTCCAATTACTTGTTGCGTCTCGGCTCACCGGGACTGGCCTGGGGCCGCAAATACACACCTCTCGGCCAACTCCGCAGAATCGCACCCCGCCGCCGGCGGCGTCTAAAGATAGCGGCGTGGGCGACACCCGGACGCGTCCGGCGACTGTAATAGCCGCGCCGGTGTCGACAATAGAACCTCACACCAAAACGGGAAGAGCGCACTCAGCGCGGCGCCAACCGTGCGTGCAATTCAGAAGAGACCGAAATGGATTTCTGTCCGATCGCGATGACCCGTGGCAGAACCGAGCCAGGTGTGAAGTTAGACCTCGGCCGACCTGTCCGTTGTGGCACAACGTCCACACCCACCTAACCCGATCGGATAGCACGTGTTCAGTCTGACCTATGAATCATTACAAAGGAGCAGGAGGGGGACAATAATGCCATGTCAGAGTGATGTCGGATTTATCACCCACGTCTATCAAGAGTATCCGTGCACCATTTTCATTTGTTGCGGATACACCACGCATCACAATGTGATGTTGGTGTTTGGGTTTTAAGGACAACCGGACTATGATGGTCACCAGCGCCCATTTCGACCCCGGCGCCTCATATTTCCCGTCTTTTCCGACTGACCTCTCCTCAGTGATGGCCTTCTCGACTGGCTCGGCCGGCTCGGCCGTATCCATACTCTCCGGAGCCGAGGAGCCGGCCGTGGGCCGCGGCGAGCGCAGCGTCGGCGGCTCCTCGTCGGCCTCGTCAGAGTCGTAGTCGTACGGGTCGTAACCCTCCTCGCCCGGCTGGCGACGGGGCCGCTTCGCCTGGTGGCGGACCGAGAAAACACGGTCAGGACTCAGGGGAAGGAACAACCACCTACAACTAAAACAAGGGGCATACATCGAAACTACGATTATGAACGCACTGAGATCAAAACAATCCATTTCAAAGAAGACGAGATCTCAAGCGTTCCCAATTGCTACCGCTATCAGTCGTCAAAGTCAGACACACCTACAGATATATCCAATGACCCTCTGAGGACCCTGACCGCAACATCCCCCAGTATCCCCGGGCGGCCACTGACCCTGGGTCGCTCGGAGCCCTCCTCGCCGTCGCCCTCTCCCTCTGTGTCAGTGCCGTCGTCCCGGCGTCGTCGACTCTTCGCCGGCTTCTTGTCCACCTGCAGACGATAGGAAGAAAACGCAGAAGGCATCGCTATATCAATGAAAAATATGAGCGTAAACACTTATCCCAGGCACACGTGACACATCTTCAGCATCCTGGGTAAACATAACTTTGAAGGCTTTTACAGGGTGCGGAAAAAGTTCTGTCATATGCATGCTAAGCTCGCCTACGCGCGCTGCGGTTGAGTTCTGGGCAGCGAATAGCCGCAGGCGTGACCTTCGGTGACCTAGCCACCTGGTTGGAGGGCAGAAACTACCAGCCATTCACGGTCAGTCATGAATAGGCAGGCTAAACGTCGCCTCGTCGTTGGGTGCCTGCGCGCGGCGGCCGAATCGGGCATGACCGATAAGCAGGTTGCGGCAAAATGGCGATCACCTGGCGAACAGTCATGCGCATTAAAGCCAAAATACGAGCAGGGGAGACTGTCGATCCGATGGTTCGATTCAATCCGGTGAATAAACATCCACACAAGGTGATGGTGCTCGACGTGGTGGGTTCGGACGGCAAGAAATGCCCAATGAGCCTCATTGACGCCAATGAGAAGGTGAAGAGGGCGGTGTACGAACGTCAACTGGTCAATGACGTCATCCCATGGATCCTGGGCCCAATCTTATAAACGTCGTGAAATGGATATGGCAGCACTCTAAGGCTGGATATATGTACGCAATCTTATAAAACTCTGTGAAATCGAAAACACGGCACGCTCTTTACGGTATTGGTAGCCGCCGGTTTTGAGGATGCTGTAGAATGATTTGAACCGTGAGCAGCGTGCACATCTCAAAACACCGACAATCATCAGCTGTTTGCGGTTTCAGCGGCGTCCATTTCACGCCAGAATTTGTGGCGTACTTTGACGAGCTTCTCAGACATTTCAATTGATTTAAGATAAATTCCATGTTTTTATGATATAAGTATGCAATATTTTACATTATGATAATTTTAAGATTAAAACATCCTCCACATATTAACTCATGATTTATTATAATGATGCTTATGATACAGACAACGATCAATTTCAAAATATGTATTTCCAGGAACTAAATGCACACTAAAACACATAAAAACGATTGTTCGTCGTTATATGGCTTTATTTTTCAAATTCAAAGGGGATTTTTAAGAGGATTTTAGCACCAGTAACCGTCTTAGATTTTCGGCAGCCACTGTATTATAGAATCGGTACGGGTCTTTAGCCTATTCTCACGTCTCACGTATGACACAAATAACGGGCACTTCATGGCTTCTGATTAGATATTTAAATTAATGATATACCTAAGTTTGTCAAAAAATTGTAAATTCCCACTCACTATTCGTACATATCTCCTCACTTTCTGTCTGGCACAGTTACGGATCAATCTGTTGTTTCTCTTCCTGCATCTCGAGCTGACTTCTGAGCCGAGTATTTTTCTTGATATAGCTTTGATATGTAGACTGGGTTCTTCAATCTTTTGAGGAATTGCTTTTTAGCTTAGGTTAGGTAATAGGTACCTATGCTTGATTCTTGAATAAGAAGGAAAATAAGATGTAACTTGACCTAATTCAGTTCATGTACGTAATCTTCCAATTTTAGTAGTTTATCTTCAAGAAGGAAAATGTCGAGAGCTTATGACAAGAAGGAAAATAAGCTATATCTTGAATTGTTAATGAATTAATATGCGTTAATGTACGCATATCCTAATGCTCAAATTGTAGGAGCTTCATTGTCAACGGCATTACTTAAATTACTGAAACAGTAGCCGAGCTATAATTAAATGCCTATTTAAATAATTCTTTGACAAATTTATTGCAATGCCCTAACAGCAAATAAATGCAAATGATAAGTAGAAGAAACACTTTATTCACTCGAATTTCTGAGCGCGAGAATGCCCTCGCTGAAATTTACTTGGTCGGCAATCCACTTTTCAGGAGAATTCTTCAAGCATGTTTGTGTTTTCCATAGTTTGCTATCACGTTTTCCATAAATAACTTATTCATTACACATATGTGTGTCTCTAAAAGAAATAAATGCCCCATAAAGATTAAAACACATAACTTTTGCTGTTCGCAAACAGTACGCATAATTTCCAATAGCGACGGCGACAAGACATTGACCAATCACGTTGCGTGTTTCCTGCTGGCGTTGATTTGTACCGTGGGCAAAATGGCGTGAATAGAATTACCATACTATTCTCTTTATAAGATTGCGTGAATAGGGTGCCGTAAATAGAGTGGGGTATAGTGGGGCCCAATCTTATAAAGGTTGTGCTACCAAATGGCGTACTATCATTCCACCCCACTCTATTTACGGCACCCTATTCACGCAATCTTATAAAGAGAATAGTATGGTAATTCTATTCACGCCATTTTGCCCACAGTACAAATCAACGCCAGCAGGAAACACGCAACGTGATTGGTCAATGTCTTGTCGCCGTCGCTATTGGAAATTATGCGTACTGTTTGCGAACAGCAAAAGTTAAGTGTTTTAATTTTTATGGGGCATTTATTTCTTTTAGAGACACACATATGTGTAATGAATAAGTTATTTATGGAAAACGTGATAGCAAACTATGGAAAACACAAACATGCCTGAAGAATTCTCCTGAAAAGTGGATTGCCGACCAAATAAATTTCAGCGAGGGCATTCTCGCGCTCAGAAATTCGAGTGAATAAAGTGTTTCTTCTACTCATCATTTGCATTTATTTGCTGTTAAGGCATTGCAATAAATTTGTTAAAGAATTATTTAAATAGTCATTTAATTATAGCTCGGCTACTGTTTCAGTAACTTAAGTACTGCCGTTGACAATGAAGCTCCTACAATTTGAGCATCAGGATACGTACATTAACTGGATCAATTCAAGATATAGCTTATTTTCCTTCTTGTCATGAGCTCTTGACATTTTCCTTCTTGAAGATAAACTACTAAAATTCGAAGACTACGTACATGACCTGAATTAGGTCAAGTTACAGCTTATTTTCCTTCTTATTCAAGCATAGGTACCTGTTACCTAACCTAAAGCTAAAAAGCAATTCCTCAAAAGATTGAAGAACCCAGTCTACATATCAAAGCATATCAAGAAAAATACTCGGCTCAGAAGTCAGATCGAGATGCAGGAAGAGAAACAACACATTGATCCTTAACTGTGCCAGACAGAAAGTGAGGAGATACGAATAGTGAGTAGGAATTAACAATTTTTTGACAAGCTGAGGTATATCATCATTAATTTAAATATCTAATCAGAAGGCAGAAGCCATGAAGTGCCCGTTATTTGTGTCATACGTGAGACGTGAGAATAGGCTAAAGACCCATACCGATTCTATAATGCAGTGGCTGCCGAAAATCTATGATGGTTACTGGTGCTAAAATCCTCTTAAAAATCCCCTTTTAATTTGAAAAATAAATCCATATAACAATGAACACTTGTTTTTATGTGTTTTGGTGTGCATTTAGTTCCTGAAAATACATATTTTGAAATTGATCGTTGTCTGTATAATAAGCATCATTATAATAAACCATCAGTTAATATGTGGAGGATGTTTTAATCTTAAAAATATCATAACGTAAAATATTGCATACTTGTATCATAAAAACATTGAATTTATCTTAAATGAATAAAACTGTCTGAGAAGCTCGTCAAAGTACGCCACAAATTCTGGCGTGAAATGGACGTCGCTGAAGCCGCAAACAGCTGATGATTGTCGGTGTTTTGAGATGTGCACAGCTGCTCACGGTTAAAAGCATGCTAGGGCATCCTCAAAACCGGCGGCTACCAATGCTGTAGGGAGCGTGCCGTGTTTTCGATTTTACAGAGTTTTATAAGATTGCGTACTATATATCCAGCCTTAGAGTGCTGCCATATCCATTTCACGGCGTTTATAAGATTGGGCCCAGATGCCGTAGTCGAGGGAGTTCAGGTCGGGTGACTGAGGGGGCCACATCTCCTTGCGCCAGAGATGGGCCGCCCTCCGAGCTCTTCCGTCAGCTTCTGCTGGATGGAATTTGCAGTGTGCACAGGCGCTCCGTCCTGCTGGGACACAAAATTGCCATCTGGATAGGTCTCCTGGGCCCAATCTTATAAAGGTTGTGCTACCAAATGGCGTACTATCATTCCACCCCACTCTATTTACGGCACCCTATCCACCTACCCCTATTCTACCCCTATTCTATATTCTAACCTATTCCACCCTACCCCCACTGGAGCGTATTGCAGGAGGAGGTCCAGGGAGTGTCCCATCCCAATGTAGAGGCTTTCAAGGCGCACATCGTGAAGACGGGAGGCGATGGACCCCGCCTACATCTTCAAAACATGCCAGTTTTTCCGCCCCCGTGTGGAGAAGGTTATAGCCGCTGAAGGGGGTTTTATTGAGTGAGGGGGGAGTGAAAGCATTTGGGTAAGATGTGGCAAACTAGTGTTTGGTGGTTTTATAAAATATAGCTGCTCAGGTTGCACTTGTTTGTGGAAATGCGGAAATATGACAGAACTTTGTCCGCACCCTGTAGACTGTTTTACGCAAAGATTACATGAATTACGAGAAAACTATGTAGGTACTCACATCAGATATCTAAAGGCAACGATCCACATCATTACCTAGTCTTTCAGTAACTCAAAATAAATATAGGCGTACCACTTCTTATTCCGATACACCACGATTGATAAAACGTCCCGCCCGGTCGCTGCACCTTTTTGAAGATGGCGAACTGGAGGAGCTCGATGGCCGAGTGGGCGTCCTGCATGTCGACAGTGGGGCTGAGGCGGCACTTGGCGTGTGCCGTGGCCAGTCGGATCAGCGTCTCCAGCGCTCGGGCCGTGATCGGCTGGGTCTGTATAACAGAGAGGTGTGAAGTGTCAATGAAAACACCGGTAAAACACCGGAGGCAGGTAGCGTACGACACAAGTGTCTCACTTGATACAGATTACAGATCGACACTGATGATATGAGATGCATAACTCTTCTATACCCCCCCCCAAAAAAAAAATCCTACGCGTTGCAGCCGTGCCTCACCTTAGCCATGTCGTTGTTGGTGTTGTCCTGCGACCTCAGCCGAGAGTACTCCTCAGAGATCGCAGTGCACGCCTGGTTCGACAGCTTCGGCTTCATCTCCTTGGCGATGTGGATGTACTTGCGGATGAAGTTCATGCTGATGATTTTACCGGCACTGCATGAAGGCAGAACTAAATCAGCGAGTGTAGCCATAATGACGCATCAAAACGATCAATAGAAAAACAGAATGATTGCTTTAAAACCCAAGCCGCGTTAAGCAGTTAACTTTACCAGTCAGCTGCAGAAAGGACGTGAAATAGCAAAATCACAGCAGAACTAATAGTTGATGTGCCACTGACCCGTGTTCGCGTTTTCCGTGGAGGAGCGGGTCGTGTTTCTCGTAGATGGTGGTTTTCTCGGGCTCCTCCTCCTCCGCCACGCTAGCGGTGGCCAGCAGGTCGATCCCCGAGCCCAGCGGCAGCACAGCGCCGTCCTCTTCGTTCGGAGACCTGCGGGGCAGAGGGTAGTCAGGAGTGCTGTGATCGTGTGATCTGCCTAACACATAGTTCGCACCTCACCATTATCGGTACACACGAGGGCTGGCCACTGGACTAGTTTACGTCTTTAATGCACAACTTACCGGTCCCGATGCATGCGAGGGCTATATAACGAGTTACCTTTGTTTACGATTCGCGACACACCGGTACCGGTGAATGCTAGGGCTATACATCCAGTTACGTACACAGCTCGCGACTCACCGGTAGCGGTGCATGCGCACTACGTGGTCGGAGATGCGCCGGTCACTCTCGGCGTCGATTGTGTCCAGCACGATGAACAGCAGGTCGAACCGAGAGAGCAGCGAGTCCTGCAGGCCAATGTTCTCCATCGGAGTCTTGTACTGGTCATACTGAGAACAAACATGCACTCGTTAGCCCAAGTAGCTAGGAATAACAAGTGTGAGGGGTGTTGACAACCTGGTGAAGAGGACATGCAAGCACAGCTAAACATCGGCGTACAATCCACTTCCAATGCGGTATCGGCCGTAGAAATAAATCATGTTTCAAGATAACGTACATATTCGTGCGCTTCATTTAACGGCTTCTTAAGTTCCGCATAATTTCCATATTACTTAATGGGGCGGCCAATTGCCTGATACCAAGGAATCCGCAAACGTTCATTACCAATCCAAACCTGACGCAACTTTTCAGCAAATCTCGTGTTCCACCTCCTCCTCACGACCCGATCGCCCCACCATCTATCGACTGAGCGGCGAAGTTCTGCTTGCTTACCCGGCCGTAGACGGGGTTGGCGGCGGCCAGCACCGAGCAGCGTGCGTTCAGCTTGGCGTGGATGCCGGCTTTGGCGATGGTGACGCGTCCCTGTTCCATCACCTCGTGGATGGCCGTTCGGTCCATGTCGGTCATCTTATCGAACTCGTCGATACAGACGACGCCGCGGTCGGCGAGTACCATGGCGCCGGCCTCCAGTCTGGAAACGAGGGGGTAGGGGGCGATCGACGGTCGGAAGCGAGCACTCTGGTTCCAGTTCCTTCGTCTAGCTTGGTCTGATCCAAAACATATTTCTGTATGCCTCCACAGCATTTCCTGGTTGGCAATCAAGGCGCTGACCTGCGCTGGTTGGTCTCCTGGTCGGTGGTGACCTCGGCACTGACCTGCGCTCGTTGGTCTCCTGGTCTCTGGTTAAGTGGTGACCTCACTAGACCTCACTGACCTGCGCTCGTTGGTCTCCTGGTCTCTGGTGACATCACTAGACCTCACTGACCTGCGCTCGTTGGTCTCCTGGTCTCTGGTGACATCACTAGACCTCACTGACCTGCGCTCGTTGGTCTCCTGGTCTCTGGTTAAGTGGTGACCTCACTAGACCTCACTGACCTGCGCTCGTTGGTCTCCTGGTCTCTGGTGACATCACTAGACCTCACTGACCTGCGCTCGTTGGTCTCCTGGTCGGTGGTTGAGTGGTGACCTCACTAGATCTCACTGACCTGCGCTCGTTGGTCTCCTGGTCTCTGGTGACTGACCTGCGCTCGTTGGTCTCCTGGTCGGTGGTGACGGCCGCCGTCAGACCCACTCCCGACGAGCCGCGGCCCGTAGTGGTGATGGCTCGCGGCGCCGTGTGCAGTACGTAGCGCAGCAGCTGAGACTTGGCCACCGACGGGTCGCCGATCAGCAGCACGTTGATGTCGCTGCGGACACGGAGAGGCACGGAATGACAGCGGCGGACCAAACGACAAGTGGACAGAGTGACATAGTCAGATCAGCCTGCACACCACTGCTGTGTGCGGAATATCGAGACGTCAGCGCCAGGCCCGAAAAAAAAACTATCGAAACGTACAGCGAATGGCGCTACTTCTCTGGGGAATTTCGTTTATCGAATAACTAAACCGTTGCAACAATAAGACATTAAATCTAATAGGAATTCGGTCGGGCCAGTTTTGCGGGCAAGCTCAAGTCTAAAATAATTGTGCATGATACGCACAAGCTCAGTGTACTCAGTACTGAAACTTACCCTCGGAGACGGGTTCCGTTGGGAAGAATCTTCTCTTCTCCGCCGAGCAAAAGGCACAGAAGAGCCTTCTTGATGTACTCATGACCGTGAATTGAAGGCGCCAGAGAGTGGGCTAGGAGGTCAAAAACATCCTTCTGAAATGATGAAAATGCAGTGGATGAGAAAAAAGTCATGACAAATCTCAACCATAAAACACGCTCAAACTATTAGTTGCCAGCTCCAGTGTCCCTTCCTTCCTCCCAGTAATTTTTGGACAGTACGCACCCGTTTGGCCTTGCAGAACTTCCTGCAGAGTTTGACGTCGTCGGCGGTGATGGTGGGCGACGCCTCCTTGCTGAGCAGGGAGACGTTGTTGGCGATCAGGATGGTGCGGAAGGTGCCCGAGGTGAAGCCGTTCTGTTTCCCGGGCAGGCAGCGGTAGGTGCCTACCAGCTGGACGCGGTCGCCGGGCTTACACCGGTCCACCAGGTCGCCGTCACACACCACGTCCACAGAGCGCGGCAGCTGACCTGCAGGCGCGCAGCGCACGTCAGCGACCCGGGGTAATACACGGACCAGCCGGGGGCGATACAACCTCTCCCCCCCCCCCCCCCACACACACACCAATCCCAGTACACAGACCGGCCGGGAGCCAGCCGACAGATCACGGACGATACAGCATACCCGCCTTTATCCGGGAATCGGTCGTCAGTGTTCGCACTCACACAGATCATCTGGGGACCCGCACAGATCAAAGACAATACGGCATTTAGTTCATAAACGTTGCAAGTCCACATGTCTCGGACATCACGGAGGATCGTACACACCTGCGGGCGCCTTCTCCGGCATTTCCTGAATGGTCAGCGTCTGATGGTCCTTGTATCTGGACAGGCCAAACTCAGTTTCCAGCAGGTTACCCTCATCGTCCTTCGTTGGATACGCGGAGCTACGGAAACAAAAACAGACAACACTGAGGAAAATATACCACAAAAAAAAACACAAAAAACAGCTGACACCTGCCAAACGGGGGTGAAAAGAGCAGGTCAAAACTCGTCACAAATATAGCATGGCAGTCCTACTGACCCCGACGGGAAGGCGTCCAGTGACGTCATATCGGTGTAGCGGCGTTCGATCGTTTTCCCGGTGGCCGGACAAAAGTGAACGCTCTTCACCACCTTCGGCCGAACCAGCGAACCTGTGGGAAAGGCAGGCGTTAGTTGGCAGGGTAATGAGAGCGGAACAAGGCAGCCCATCATTGGAGATCACTGCCGAATTACGCAAAAACTATCTAGACTGTATAACTTCGACATATAGCCAGGTAATTTCGTCAGGCGTGTTTAATATTGCAGAGTTACAAGTTCATGTGAAGTGTTATGAAAAAAGAACACTGTAGACGCAAATAAACCAAGACCTTACATCAATATTTAGTATTACGTACATTTTGTCACGATGCCTTCGACGCAGACGACCGAGCCGAGAAACTTTGAAGTCAGAGTCCTTGGACTGACATGATGAGAGCCGAAGCTTCCCTCAAGACCAATGCTGAGTTCTTCATGCTGCTTAGCATAGACTGGGTCCGCTGCTCCAGCATACTCCATGAGAGCACGCTGAAAACAGCTGAGCTCTTCGAAGGCATTTTTCATGAGTCTGAAAGAAAGGCAGGTTTTCACGTCTCACCAATGCAAGCTAAATATCAGGCATATCCTGGCAAAACTTATTGAAGCAACGAGACTAACCAATGTCACTATTATTCTTGTTGACTCAAAAGAAATAATCAGCGAGCACAGCAAACTACCTGGAGAAAATGTAGAAAAATAATGATCTTTTACTTGAGCAAACATAGGTTTTGTCAGATTTTCTAAGCCAGGCAGACGACTTAAATTGAATATGGTACAAGACAAGCTGTTTGTTTGTTTGTTTGTTGGGGGTTAGGGGCGCGCCGACTGCGAGGTCATTTTGCGCCCATAGTAAGAGACGAGCCATAGGAATAAAAAGAAATCGAAAAGTGAATTCAACAGGAAGATAATATTTCCTGGTGGCTAGTCTTAACTGCATTGATCCTTCATGTGCGCTACGGCGATGAAAAAAAAAATCAAATTTTATCAGATTATTACGCAGAACCCTGCAGATTATGAGTATTGGTGATAAAACATTACCAAGAAAATTCTAGCCTCGTAGCTTGACATCTTCATGCCGCGCAGAGCATCGGAATTTGTCCGTATCGAAGGTGTAAGGCGTTACAGTCTCCAATGGTGGAGCGCCGCTGCGGGCGGTGCCCAACAGAGACCTCTCCTCCGTTTATTGTTCGAGCTAATAGACGGTGCTTTATGGTGACGAACGACGCATTTTCGCCATGTCTTCTACATCCTAAACTTTTTGCGTCTATCCTCTAGCCAACCATCGGCAGTGTTCACTGTACCACTGTTAGGGTCGAGGATTGGTTTCAGGCGCTAGAAGATAGAGGTAAAAACTTAAGATGTAGAAGACATACCAAAAATGCGTCGTTCATCACCATAAAACACCGTCTATTAGCTCAAACAATACACGGAGGAGAGGTCTCACGCCACCTGGTGTTAGGCACCACCCGCAGCCGCGCTCCGCCATTGGAAACTGTAACGCTTAACACCTTCGATACGGACTAATTCCGATGTTCTGCGCGGCATGATGATGTCATGCTACCAGCCGCTAAAAAAAACTGGCAATGTTTGCTCACCAATGCGCATAAGTTGCGAGGTTCTGCGTTCGCATCCGAAACTTTTTTTTTTGGCTCACCCTAATGTGCGCTTTTGAATAATGTACTGAAAGTGATAAGATAGGCTTACAAAAACTGATAATAGGTACATATTTGTCTCAGAAAATCATCGGTATGGAATTATCTAACAAATACTCATAGGCTGAGCACACATACCTTCAGGAAAACAATCAAATCATGCACCTGTCAAAAGGAGAGCAGGTTGTCTTACCCGGCCACTCGCTTAGGCAGCTTATTCCTCAGGTCATTCACGTTCACAATGAGTCTGGTCTTCTGATTTTCCATCATGTCCCGAACAAGATGCATGTAAATCCCTTGATCTTCCTGCAATTGTAACACAAAAAGATACATTGATTGGAGACTTTTGCAACTCTTTATCATGGTTTGTTAGATAACTATTAACTACAGTATGATAAGTAAGCCTCAACAATACCAAAGATAATAAAAAATACTGGCCTTTAATGACACCTCTTCAGAAATGAAAGCTTACCTACCCAACATGGAGCTTAAGCTTCAACTGCATTGAACATGTTGGCAAAATGCATGTTTATCACCATTATCACACACAAGGTACAAAGAAGTACAAAAGACACAACAAAGAATTAATAAAGAGAGCATAGAAAAACTTACCTCATCATCCAAGAAGTCAAGATAGTCTCTCTGGATATCTCTTAAATACTGATCCACCTCAATCACACCAAGATCACCCATCTTGGAAAAATGCTAAGTTACCTGCAAAAAGAAAAGAAAAATTGAATCTTAGTGATGACAATTAGGCACACCATTTGTTCCTTTGAATCTGTGCTTAAAGAGTGCTGGGGGTTGGGGGAGCCTGGAGCAGCTCTACATGTTTTTTTTTTGGGGGGGGGGGGGGTGTTTTTGAGGAGCTCAAGTCTGAGGACCTAAGAGGTTTGGGAAGTGACAGACACAGATCCAGTGCTATGTGAGTCACCACCTTTTGGTACAACAGTGCTGGTTGCTGATAATAAATAACAGGTACAGCACAACACTGTAAATCCTCCATTGTCAGCAAGATGGTACTTCAGAACTGTAAATTTTATAGTTTAACTCACTATATCAGTAGCCTTTGAATTAAGTGGTTCAAACCACATAGGTATTTATCAGCATATGTACTAGTGAATACCAAATGCCATGTGCTGTGCCTACATGGCTTTGTTTGAAACAAAGCCATTGTTCGTTTCAATTGTTTCAGCATGTGATGTTTCTTAAAACTAATATGTATTGGAAGTTGGAGCTTAGTTTCTAAGGAAATAAGCAAAATGGACAGTTCTGCTTACATATCACTGCCCATGGAAAGTGATGGCCAAAACCAAGTAGTGTCGGGCAGCAGCAGGCCAAAAACAGGGCCGTACTATTTCTAGCTGGCTTATTTTCTAGCTGGTGCCATATAGTAGCGCCAGCAGAGCTTGTTATATATATAAATACAAGGCATTAAAGACTAAATACCTATCTATATATTAATTTTTCTATGATCCCATTTTACATGTTCATGCCCACCTACTACCGTGTTTATATCAATAAATGTCATAGCTATCATGTCGCCAGCTGATTTCAACCAGTTGTTAGTAAGGCCCATAAACCAGGGCAGCAGGGCCCATAAGCAAGCAATTGTTCAAACATTGCGGAAAACGCAGGACATCAGTAGTAGTCCAAGGACGTCCTGCATTGACAGAAGCTTCCTAGCACTACAAGCAAAAAGTTATGAGCAGCTTGGCGGTTTGATCGTATGCATACTTCAATCGTACCTATTACCTAGTCTACACCACCAATTCAATTCTTAAAAGTTTGGAAGACATAATGAACGGCGCGGCCGTGACGTTTGCGGCGCAGAGCAACGGGTGGTTTATCCTCAAATCAATCGTACATACGCATGCTCAACACTGTTTCAAGACCGACCAAGACGAAAAAAAAAATTCAAAGACCTAAAAAATGCAAAAATGACAATTACCGACTAGCAGCACCCAACCACAACACACAACAACAAATCCACAATCGCGCTTTACGCGCTCCTGCGCGCTGCGCGCTCCGAGAAAGCGCGCGAACTCCTATTAAAATACAGACAACTTTGCTTCTTGCGGTCAAAACGTTTGATTTCGATTGAAGATTCTTTTGATGATATCAAACATAAAATATTCAGAACTCGAAAAAGGAAATTTCTATGATAAGTTCCTTTAATACCATTTTTTAATCAGAAAAGGCATTGAAAGCGCAGCTCTGAATGATGAATGGGGGCATACAGCTTTTTCCTTTCTTTCTGCGTTCCCTGATGAGACATCAATGCAAAATTTTGCACTTAAATACTGAATTGAAATATTGATGAAATACATTATCACCTTGATTATCACTGAAACTTCAGCTTACATTCTCTGGTGAACTTCTTCCTCCGTAAGTTGTATGTAAGGCTATCTGCAGCAAAATAATGATTGTGTTTCTTTGACTTCCGCATCAAATCGGCAGTTTTATGAAAAAATTGTTATGCAGTGGAGAAAATTCAAATATTTCCGCTGAAAATTTTTTTTTTATCCATTTCTCTTATGAAAATTATACTCAAAATATATTTTTATTCTTTTTACTACAACAGCGACGCATACTTCCTTCTTGCTTGGCTGCTTTTGAGGTGTAGTGTCCTCGCAAGGGCTAAGGTCATTTTTGACGACCTACACCGAAATAAACGCAATAATCATGTCGACTAAGGACGAGGCTTCATGCGTCTACGCTTCCCTGATCCTGGCCGACGATGACATCGCTGTCACGGTAAGCTTCTTCATTCTTGGCTCTTGCCTCTATGTCGGGGGCGCCTCGTAGGTACTGGTGTTCTGTTGGTAAATGTCAAGTTTAAGTTCTAAGACGATTTCAATGATAAATTTTTCATATTTTTACATTATTTGACATCCTGAATCCAAAAATGATACTCATGTCTCGCAAATAAAAGAAAAAACAATCAAACCTGACCTAACCTTACCTACTTACCTATAACATACCAACCTACAACATACAAACCTACCCTAACCTAACCTAACCTACAAACCTACCTACCTACAACCTAAAACCTACAAACCTACAACCTAACCTAACCTAAAACCTAAAATTTTTGCTGTTTCATATTTGTATCTGCAGCGTCACAATTGTAGTTAGGACCTAAACTTGACATATACCGTTCTGTTTTGGGGCTCGGGATAATGGATCTTATCATTTTGATAAGATGATATTGTTATATATGTTATATGTTATATAAACCATATAACATAATAATATTTTGCTGTTGTGTTCCCATGGATAGGGTTGCAGAAACTGCAAGCTTGAATTTAAATCATTTTGCATCATAGATTCTTACCCTGAATTGGTTGATGGATTCAGTCTGAACTGCTTACTTGCACTGCACCTGGTGGTAGGTATCATAGATTGCTGCTGTTTTGTAGCTTTGAAGTTCTGCAATCATGAGGTGCACTAAAAGTAAATTATGTATTTGTATTTGTAGTACGTTCAGTCAACTTGTGATCAGCTTCCTCTGCCATTGCTGTAGTCCACCAGGGATGGAAAATAATCTTTGTATGTGAATATTTGATAATTTTTGATATGTATTTTTATTATTTTAAATGTCAGATTTGAAAATGTTGCAGGAAAAACTTAGGAAAGTGGTATATTAACTTAAACCATTTTAAGCATTAATTTATATTTGCTAAGAAATGTCATGACCACCATAGAGACCATCTGATATTTCCAAAATTGTTGTAAATTATTTCAACTCATTACTGTATCATCACTTGATTTTCTTTGCTTGAACTACTGCCCCAAAATTGCATTGTAATAAGTTTTTAAGATCATACAGTGATATTTGTCAGTGATTGAAGTGATACCATAGACTCAAACAAGCTGTGCATACTGATAACTAAAAAATGAAATGAAAAATGAAAATGACAAAGCTGGTGTAACTAAAAATAGAAAATAAGATAATTGAAAATAACTAGGATAGTTGAAAATAAAATGACAACTAACATGGCATGACCTGGTCTAACCAAACCTATCCTTGCCTAACCTAACCTTTCCTACATCACTTACAGTAACTAGTGACATAAAATAGTTCAGCTGCCACCACATTTTTATCATTTGCCTTACTATTCAAACATTGCACTGCATGGAAACCTGGACAACTTGTGAGGGGCAGTGGTGCTGGTGCTAGAGTGTGATATGCTACCTTTAATTGTTTGACAGAATAATTGTAGGCTATTAAAACTCAAACATTGATATTGTAAGTTATGTTTTGTTGTACTTGAGCTTTATGGACATGTATGCTACCACTGGATAGTGGTTTCTGGTTAGCATTACCAGTAGTGTGGGTCACCCTTCTAGCAATCACCACTAGTGTTCTTAAAGTATTATCAGCCCAGCTGTTTTTTTTTTTTTAGATGGATAAGGTGTCATCAAACATGTGTAAGTGCTGGGGCACTCCTTTTGTAGCATATGTAGAATAATTTCCCACTGGTTGAAAAAGATAAGCCTAGTCATGATTGGTATAAGCTTGAAATGTGCAGCACTAAAACATAAAAAAATATAAAGTAAATTGGCAATGACCGAGTGTCAGCTAGTAAATCATCGGGGAATGTTGAAAAGAATGATTGCCTGTGCTGAGCATGGTTGAAGGCGGGGGGGGGATGCTAAGCGTCGCGCGTTTTCCGCTATCTGCTAGAACCTGGGGGGTGGGTGGGTGGGGGGTATTGTACAATGTACAATATCCCCCTTGCCTGGGCTAGGGAGGGTTGAGTTGAATGTCCGGCACCTCTGACGCTCTGTCTGTGCTGTTTCAGTCTGAGAAGATCCAGACTCTGCTGAAGGCGGCCGGCGTCACCGTGGAGCCCTACTGGCCGGGCCTGTTCGCCAAGGCTCTGGAGTCGGCCGACATCAAGTCGCTGCTGAGCAACGTGGGCTCGTCTGTGGGCGCCGCGCCGGCGGCCGCCGCCGCTCCTGCCGCCGCCGCCGCCGAGCCGGCCAAGGAGGAGAAGAAGAAGGAGGAGGAGCCCGAGGAGTCGGACGACGACATGGGCTTCGGTCTCTTCGACTAAGCGGACTACCATCTTCATCATTGTTTTAATACACAAAACCAATGACGGAGAATGAGCGTGTTTTGCGTTTGGGTGGTCCGGGCGGAGTGTCTCTAAGACGAGAGCTCTAGCGCATGATCGTGCAACTGAGGGTGGGTGCAAGACCGGGTAATGGAGGAACTGCGAATGATGGCCCTTATAATGCTAGCTAACGGTAAGGAGCAAACTGTTTGCTTATTGGCGACTCGGGGGGGGGGTCAGGACTCGCCCCCCCCCCTGAAAACGAATTACTGCTCAAGTCTCAACCGTGGGTAATCGCAGCATGATTGGAACAATTTTATAAAATTTGAGACACGATTTATTTCTGCAATCCGCAAAGTTAGGATAACATAACAGGTGAAAAACAAACGGGAAAGGTGGACACCAGATTACCAAAGAAATGCGATGCGCCGGAACAGGAAATAACAATCCTACACTAAAGCTAGGGAAAGCTCAGGAAGCATCTTGACATAGTCATTGGACAGCCTGGTGTCCGCACATACACATCTCGTTGGTAGCAATTCGGATAAAATCGGCCTCAGAACAGCGCAGCACACACTGCCACTTCGTGATCATAGGGTTTGGCAAACGACTTACTGGATTGCGCAGTGTGCTAACATTCACGCAGGCGGCGCAAACATAAAACCAAACCGCCGAACGGCGGGGGTCGGTTAACTACAAAGCAATAACGCATATGTAAAGCAAGAAATCTCAATAAACAACCGATCAGAAGCACTTGATCGCCATGAACACAGCGTCGTGTGGGCTCACTGAACGGAATCTCGCGGTGGTGCAGCGATGGCCACCTCCCTGCACATCGGGCTGAGCAGTGACACAATTTCCACCAGACTTCCTCCTCCGTGTGAACCTTGAAAGCGACGCACGCACAAGCACGAGGCGCCGGCGGCGCCCCGTCAGCACGGTATAAAAAGGCCGGGCCGCCGGGCAGCACAGCTCGACGACCAGCCTCAGTCTGCAACAGGGAGCCACAGAGTCAGACACGGACATGGCGGCGGCAAGCGGGGCACCGGACCGCAGGCGATAATAGACCTGCGCTCAAACGGTGCCCAACTGCGGATATGAACAACATGAACTCGGTAGTCACTACCATATGTTTCTTAAGTTAGCCTTGGACGAAATTCCACCAACTGCGGGCCGTCCTTACCACAACCATGGATATCGGATCACTTTCCTGGAAGGATCATGGCCGAGGCGCCTGGTCGCGATTAGCGAGTCGCATGGTGGCGGTCTGAGGAACTAATAGTTCATAGTACCGCACTGCGAGCTCGGTAACCGGACAAAAGATCGTAAAGCAGAAGATCGTATGGCAGAAGATCGTAGGCAGTTGATCGTATGCAAAATATCGTAATGGATAAAGATCGTATGACATAATGCTCGTATGGACAAAAGATCGTATTCGCTAAAGATCGTCAAGGAAAATGATCGCATGCCAAAAAGTCGTAATGGATAAAGATCGTACGACATAATGATCGTATGGACAAAAGATCGTATTCGCTAAAGATCGTGAAGGAAAATGATCGTATGCCAAAAAGTCGTAATGGATAAAGATCGTACGACATAATGCTCGTATGGACAAAAGATCGTATTCGCTAAAGATCGTCAAGGAAAATGATCGTACGCCAAATGATCGTATGAGATAAAGATCGTACAGTCAAAATATGGTATTCACATGGTGCAGCCCAACTCCAGCGCATACAAAGCTTACCTATCAATTTCTGTGTTCGCGTAGCAAGTGGCCGTCGTAAGCTCGACCATACATTGATGTTATTTCAGAGCTTAGATGGCTCAATGACACTTAAAGGGACCCTCCCACCTTAACATTGGTTTTGAGTTGAGATAGCAAAATTGGTGGCCATGGCCTGCAAATACCGGTTTGGGCACTCACAACATCGAGAAATGCTTTAATTCGAAGATATGGAATTTCAAACTTGCAGTTTTCGGATTCTAAGGGGCTAATGCATTGGTATGCCCCCTTAGAATTTGTGACGTCAGCGGAGATCTAACGATTTTTAAATCTTAGACTAAAACCATCGTTAACACCTGGTGGTATACGCTGCTTTGCGCGCAACGTCTGCCGCACTTTAAGGCTGCCAAATTATTGCTTCCAAATAAAATCGCTAGTAACAGGGAGATCCCAAAAAGTAAACAAAAGTAAAAGCCTAATATCTTGAAAACCAGTGAATATTTTTCGGTGAAATTTGGTAGATATTCGTTTTCGCTCCTTCTGAACCAAGGGACATCACTTTCATGCCAATTCATTAACTTTTTTGAAGGTGGGAGGGTCCCTTTAAAAGCAACGCGTTGTATATGTGCCGAATAAATGAATGTATGTGCTGCCGTTTTCATGTACCTATTTGAAGTGAATACAACTAAACCACCGTTCCGTGCTTCTATCCTCAGGATACTGAAATCCTTCTCCTCCACGCCGCAACCCCCCTCCGGGCTGGACAGGCAACTTTATCTCATGCGGGCTGCTCCCTTGGAGCGGCACCGCTGCTCCCGAGGGAGCGCACCCCGTAGCCGGGTGCAGTGAGTGCCTTGGGGCTGGGTGGCCTGTCCTCTGGACGGGCTCAGCCCCGGCGACTCACTAGGGTGCCTGCCCAGACCAATGTCTCCTCCTATATCCTATCATCCTCCCGGCTCTGAAATGGTCTCATTGGACCGAAAGGGCCTAACCCAACAAAACAAACAAACAAACAAAACAACTAAACCCATGTTCCCCCCACCCCCCACCCCCACCCCCACCGCCTGGAAGTTTAAAATGTTGCTTAAGCGGCTGAAGTAAACGGCGTTAAAAATACTTTTTGCTTCGCACTGTTACATTTTCATACTGAATTGTCATCGCTTTACGAGTCATCAACAGATGTTTATCGCGTTATCACTATCGAAGTCGCAATTCTCCTAGTTATAGGATCCTAGTTTCAATCCAATCCTAGTTATAGGAGTCATTGTTATCGAAGACCGGTTAAAGATGTCAATTGTCCATCATTGGTTCGAAATCGCCCCAGTAATTACCTAGTTACTGAAATGGGAACAAATTTGGCACCTCTCCTTTTTGTATTTTGCACGTGCATTGGGGGTCACTCACATAGATCAAGGGTATCCGACCTTTGGTAGAAGGGATGCAGCTACCCTATAAAAATTACCGCAAGACAATCGCTCAAGCCGCTGCTGAGATATGGGCCTCTCAAAATCATTACTTTTGCAAAACTGCTTGAACACCCTTGACTTCTCACGTGGCACGTGCCACGACGGCCACTGAGATGTATCAAAAGTAGTCAATTACGGGGAAGAAGGGATGGGGCTACCCAGCAAAAAAGACCGCAGGCCAATCGGTTCAGCGGTTGCTGAGATATAAGCCTCTGAAAAGCGTTACAGGCCGGGCCGGGCCGGGCCGGGCCGGGCCGGGCCGGGCCGCTCATACTGAGATTTTCCTGTTATATTCAAAAGACTTCGCTTCGCTCGCTGCGCTCGCTCGCTCGTAACAACACTATTCTATACGATTATTTACTTTACGAACATAACGCTACGATCTTTTGTCGAACGATCTTTTACAACATACGATCCTTATCTTACGATCATTTTCCTTCGATCTTTTTTGTACGATCCATTGCTTTACGATCTTTTGCTTACGATCCTTGGTCGTACGATCTTTTGCGACATACGATATTTATCTTACGATCATTTTCCTACGATCTTTTTCATACGATCAATTGCTTTACGATCTTTTGCTTACGATTTTTTTGTCGTACGATCTTTTACAACATACGATCTTTATCTTACGATCATTTTCGTACGATCTTTTGCATACGATCAATTGCTTTACGATCTTTTGCTTACGATCTTTTTACCGTACGATCTTTTACAACATACGATCTTTATCTTACGATCATTTTCGTACGATCTTTTTCCATACGATCTTTTGTCTTACGATCTTTTGTCACGTAATCGCGAGCTCAAATGCACACTTCTGCGTGTGAAGAACATTTGTCTCCAGCAATGCTGTTCGGCCCTTGCGCCGCCCACCCAAACGAATAGGGATTCCCGCACTAGAGGCGATTTCCGCTGGAACACCAGAATAACTTAAAATTTCAAGTCGCGGCACTCCCAGCTGTTATGGTCACTTTTCACCTCGTAAATTGATGAGCAGATCTAACGTAAATAGGTCCTACGATAAATTTAAGGCATGCAGCATCTGAAAAGTGAGAGGGCTTAAAAAGCAACTAACAAAACGTAAAAAATAAGCCAGTGATGAACCTTTATAGAAAGCTTTCAGGCGACACGAAAATGATCGGAAACGGTAATTTGAGGAAAGATAAAGGGAGCAAGTCCATTTATGACAACGCGACCTTAGGTGAAAACCGAAAAATGACGGGCAGTGACGCATCACATGTGGGTATGACTTTGAAGATACAATAGCTAGTCAGCTCTAGTCGACTGGGACATGTTATGGATGAACTGTACCTATTGGAGAGTGGATGGATATGCCTCTTATCTACGCAAATAACGAAACACGAATGGACACTAAAACCATCACTACCGCAGATCACGGTACACCCTGCCGGACTATAACTGATGGAGGTTCGGATGGCGTGCAGTGCACACAACTCAAGAGACTAGACTACTGTACCTGAACGGGACTACCGACTCTACGGCCAGTGCGCGCTAGTCTATACAGATACCGTGTGTTGTGTGCGTGTGTGCGTGTGGGTTGGGCTCAGAGCTCGACCAAAGTGTTTCTGCGGCTGAAGCCCCGCGGCCACACTGCAACGAGTCACACAGGGGTCGGTGAGCCGGTGGAAGTTCGCACTTGTCCTCACAGCTACACATAGAGCACAGGGGATGCAGCGCCATGCTTTGTACACAGAGGGGTCTTTTTCAAATGTGGAACAAAACATTGAAACTGTTACGTTTCTACTAGCGAATCGGCCGTATAACTTTATCTAATAGGTACATCGCAATTACATGATTTTACTAGCCTGCCTAGTGCGTGCTTGCACAGTTATGAGAAAGTAATACATCCTTCGCCAACTCTTATTGCGATAAGTTGTGCAACGGTTAGAAATAAGTATAAGCATAACTGAGGGATTAAGTAAAATTTACACTTGAAACATCTATCCATAGACCTCTGTGCACCCTTAGTACAGAGGTCGCAGAGGTCTATGATCTATTTAATGTATTTTCAATCGTAAAAGGGGTTTTGGCATTACAAAGTCACTATTCACTAGGTACCCACATCCATGGGTGGAGAACCTGCCCCGGCCACCCCGGCCGTGGCCGGGGTAACTTTCAGCCGACCCCGGCGCGGCCGGGGTAACTTTTCCACTTTTGTAAATCCTAAAAGCTGTCTCCATACGAAAAAAAACTGCCACCTATAAAAGTGTCTCTCATTGTTCTTATCTACCTTGAAAAGTTTGTGAAAATTTACTTTATTTTCATTTTGGAGCTTCTATGTTTTCAAATCTTTTCATCGCGGAGCCCGACAAGTTTCATCAAACAGAATTAAATCATATTTAAGGGCAGTTATCTTAAGATGGCACTGCAATAACATCACAAGACAGAACGAGGGTAATATCAGTGAGATAGAAGGACGAGCTGCTGGGGCTCAAGGCTCCCCCCACTTAATCCGCGCCAGGGTGGTGGCTCTATCGTAACACGTTGAGTCGAGAGGAGGGCGTTTCACGCTCCTTCTAACTCGGCTACTGGGCTACGAGGCGAGAAGCGGAACGACGTTTGGAAGAGCGACAAACGTGATCAGAGAAATCTGGTCAGTGGTCATCTTTTAGGCGCAAGCACAATAATAAGCCCACCATAGATCATCAAAAGCCAAATTTCTCTGATTTTAGCGTTTTCCGACAACTTTTCTCACAGTTCATGAACATAACGGAACTAAAACCAATTTCATCATGAAACTTATATAATTTAATTAAAAAACTTGAAATCCTTTGAGTGCTTGTCCCAACCCCTGCTATACCTTTGGTCACGTGACTTCCATGATAAACTTTGCGTTTTGCAATGTTATGACTTAAACAGAAGCAATAAATGTTACAAGCGTATTATTTATGATGTTTTAGGCAGCAATCGTGTAATAACATCCTTGAATTATATACATTCTGCTTAAAAGAGGTCACGTGATGTTACCAGATTGTGCTCGGACAGCATTTTCTTAAACTTCGATTTTGAGTACTTTTTACCTTCATTGAGTCCTAATAACGGACGTTTTTAGTTATAAAATGAAGCAATGAATCTATTGAGGGCAAAATTTAATCATTTTTGCACTTTCAAGCCGGGCTATCCTGGCATGAACTTCGGCCGGTTTGTGTGTGAAGCCTATGGTGAAGGGAAAACTTCACGCCCGGCTGACGTCACAGACCTCGGCTACCAAATCGTGTCCGGTGGGGGTCGGTGCATGCCACAGGTATCGACCAGAAATTTTGTATTTAAATACATACTGGATCTTAAAGGGACCCTCCCACCTTCAAAAAAGTTAATGAATTGGCATGAAAGTGATGTCGCTCGGTTCAGAAAGAGCAAAAACGAATATCTACCAAATTTCATCGAAAAATATTCACCGGTTTTCAAGATATTAGACTTTTACTTTTGTTTACTTTTTGGGATCTCCGCTGTTCCTAGCGACTTTATTTTAAAGTGCGGCATTTGTTGCGCGCAAAGCAGCATATACCACCGCGTGCTACCAAACGTTTTAGTAAAAGATTTAAAATCGTTAGATCTCCGCTGACGTCACAAATTCTAAGGGGGCATACCAATGCATTAGCCCCTTAGAATCCGAAAACTGCAAGTTTGAAATTCGATATCTTCGAATTAAAGCATTTTTCGATGTTGTGAGTGCCCAAACCGGTATTTTCAGGCCATGGCCACCAATTTGGCTATCTCAATTCAAATCTAATGTTAAGGTGGGAGGGTCCCTTTAACTGAATCTGGACTTCGCGAGTCCAGTACCAACCTCTAATGCATGAGTATGAATAACACAGCCATTCTACAGGCAAGCATGAGTCATCTGAGGGCTCAATAAATCAATAGATGACGGCGACTCCGAACATGAAAGCCGCTCGTGTGCAATGCGCAGAGCAGTGCAGCTACCAAGGCAGAAATAAGGTGCTGAGTTTCATTCAAAACATACCTACAAAATACACAGAGAGAACACAAAGGCGGCAAGAATCATTAGACAAGGGAGGGAGAGGGAGTGGAAGAGAAAAAATAAGGAGGGAGATAGGGGCACGTAGGAAGCTTTCATGCAGGATTACTAGAATACTGAGCCAATTCCATTGTCTCGCAGCGTGAACTGCTGTACCACCCATCGGGACTGAACCTAAGCCCTAATTGTTTAAGTGTCCGGCCGTACACTGATGGACACGGAGTCGGGCACGGTCCCCGGGTACCTCCCCAGTAAATGACAGAGCTCTCGGGACAAATGCCCGCTGCCGGCGGGCAGTCGGCCGGTGGGCAAACACAATCAGCGCGCGCGCGGCGGGATGCCAGGCTGCACTCACCCTCCTTCTCGGGGTTCTCCTGTTCATTGTCGCCGCTGCCGACCTGCCGACCGGTCACAGCGGTCACTCGGAGGGCCAACGGGGGGGGGGGGACTCGGGGGTACGGTGAAACCACACGACACAACACTGGCGAAATTCAACAGCGAACCGGAAACCAATAGAGAAAACTAGACTACTATATAGCATTAAATACGTGAACAACGGTATTTTTCTTATTTTCCATATTTTAGCATGAGTGGTTGCAAGTTGCAATACATTGTATCGAGAAGTCACACTTGCACGTTAGTGGAGCTTTTCACACTTTGGTTGTTCGCATGCCAAAGCGTTGATAAAGGAGAGGTATGCCAATAGCGGGTTGAAGACCCATCCAGTATTCGCCAATTACATTGTAACAGAATATCGACAAACTCTTCGAAAATTACCAAACTTTTGGCCGCAGCAGGTGGAACTTCTACACAGGCTGCAATATGAGGATGGCATTTTAGGATGTAAACAACTGTGCCGAAACAATCTATGCAAGGCAATAATTTTGGTGGCACGATTGCATGGTTACACGGTTGGGCTTAGCGCAGTCGAATGCAACCAAACTTGTCATATGCTTCGAACATTTAAAAACAAAACAAAGGGGAATGCTTGAAGCCTAACTTTGTTTATACAACTGGGAGCAGCATGCTTTTATCGATACAACACGCCAAATGAACTGCAGGCAACTCACGCTGATATTGTTATTAGTGCCCTGGTTATTATATAAACTAAAACGTCAGACATTTGCATGCTACCATGGTCGTAAGCTTTCAAACACACACCGGAACTATTTTGTTATAACTCACACAACTTTGGTGGAGCACAACCCGTTCTACCACATCACCAAGCTGTTAGTATCACTCGCATTGCAATAACGCTGTTAAGTGTAGTCAAAGTGGTACAAACCACACCGGCAAAGACCACATACCAAGCCTCTGACGCATCTCTAACCGGAGACATCCTCGTCATCACCAGTGGCCTCTCCTCCTTCAGCTTTAATGCCATCTCCATTTCCAGTCAGCGGTCCCGTGCCATCAACGTTGCCTTCAGAGCGTCCACCTTCCTGAGCCCACTCCGGCTCTGCGGCTTTCTCTCCATCAGCAATAACAGCTGCGACGCTCTCCTCCGCATCTCCTTTGTCGCTTACTTTTGGATCTGCCATTTCAGTTTCATCATGGCCTTTGGGCTCTTTTTCCGAGTCCGATTCGTTACCAGTACCAGACTCTTGCTCTGCGGAGCCTGGCTGCATAGCTTCTGTCTTGACCTCAGTGTCACGACGCTCGTCTTCGGCAGCGTCTGTCTTATCGGCGTCGGCGTCCACCATCTCGCCATCACCGGATCCCTTGCGATCCTCATCCTCGTCCAGATCAACATGGGCGCCCTCATTCACAGACCCTGGGCTATCCCCTCGCTTTCCATCAGCGTGCTGATCCTTAATACTGTCCCCAGAACCAGAAGAATCCCCTTTCCCCTGAGCTTCCGCTGTGAGATTTTCATTTTGACCCAGAGATCCACCAGCCACCTCCATATTTCCGATAGCTTGCGCACCCTCCTTGCCATCCACAAATTCCTCATTATCATCGGTATTTTTGCCCCCAGAATGATCGTCATCCACATCGTCCCAGAACCCCGTGGTATCATCCTCCTTCCCTGCCTCTGCAGACGGATTAGCCACCTTAGTATCATCCCCGGCTGCCCGTGTCTCCTCTCTCTCGTCTCCTCTAACTGGCGTGGCATCACTCTCGTCCCTTACTCCCGATTTATCCCCTCTCTCTTCGTCCCCTGCCGAAACTGTTCTTTCCTGGAACCCAGGGCTTTCCTCTTTTTCCCCATCCCCCTCCCAGAATCCCGGACTTTCAACCTTTTCTCTTTTACTGGGCAAGTCGTCTTCGGGATTCTCGTCCCAGAACCCTGGGCTTTTTTCTTTTTCTTTTCTACTGGGATAATTGTCTTCTGGATTTTCGTCCCAGAATCCAGGACTTTCGTCTTGCTTCTCTTTTTCAGTGGGAGTATCGTCTTCTGGATTTTCATCCCAGAAGCCTGGACTTTCCACTTGCTTCTCCCTTTTAGCGGGAAAATCGTCTTCCGGATTCTCGTCCCAAAATCCGGGACTTCCTTCTTTCTTTTCCTTTTTAGTGGGAAAATCATCTTCCGGATTCTCATCCCAAAATCCGGGACTTTCCGCTTTCTTTTCCTTTTTAGTGGGAAAATCATCTTCCGGATTCTCATCCCAAAATCCGGGACTTTCCGCTTTCTTTTCCTTTTTGGTGGGAAAATCGTCTTCCGGATTTTCATCCCAAAATCCGGGACTTTCCTCTTTCTTTTCCTTTTTAGTGGGGAAATCATCTTCCGGATTCTCATCCCAAAATCCGGGACTTTCCTCTTTCTTTTCCTTTTTAGTGGGAAAATCATCTTCCGGATTTTCATCCCAAAACCCGGGACTATCTTCCTTAGTCGTTTTCCTGGCAGGCAAATCTTCCTCAGTGTTCAGATCCCAAAAGCCGGGGCTGTCTTCTTTCTTCCCATCGCGATCCTCTTCGCCCGATGTCGGCTGTCGAACGCATGCGAAAGGTCGATCGCTAACTACTACATCAAAGCATTTGAGGAGTGCGTTCAACTAGACTGGGACACCACGAACAAATAGAGGTGGCTAGTTACGCCAGAACAGGCTGTTAGCGACCACATGATACTGACATACAACTAGGGGTAGACGTCAAAACATTTACTAGCTGGGACAGGGGCGTAGTCTGCCAGTCCATAATGTAAATATACTTTTCGAGAGACTGAAAATGAGTGAAGTAGACAAAATGAGAGTGAGAGAGAACTGGCAAACCCGCACGTTCGAAGCTCTACACAAGGTTCTAAACAAGACAAGCACGGTACGCATGATGCATATGTACTTTGTAGTGATGCTTCAAATCACCTTTCAGCTAACACTACTGCTCAGTCTATTGGTGACGGAAAGCATAACAATGCAACCATTTTAGAGAAGCGTAACAACACAATTCATAGCTAAGCATTCGGACTAAGACATGGATACGAATTAAATGACGGCATTCTGGAATCATGAAACTGACAAAAAGCAAATCCTATCTTAGGCATGCTCTTGTCTGGACTCTCAACAGTCACATGTTGTGATGAGGAAACTGGTTAATCAAGGCCGACACTCTGCATCCATTTGTTATATAAGGTGTTAATGCAAGGAAGAGGCTAACGATAATGCAAAGCATGGACAATGAGCAACATACGTGTCGAAATTCGTATTACTATGCGTAGTTAATAATCAGCTCAAACCTTGTTAGAACCAAGTTAGAACACAGCAAAACATGTTAATGAAATCCTGAAATTTTGTTATTGACTAACCCAGAGTGACATGAAGTACACTGCGATCGCTTCGTAATCGCAATTTGCTAAAAGTTAACACAGCTATAAAGAGTCTTCCAAGTTCCAATGCCAGCGTCGATTTTTGGATTAGCCACGCTGGGGGCTGGACGATGCAGAGCAGCGAGAAGATGACACCAGACTGTACTACAAATGCGTGCAAAACATGATGACTTAGGTAAGTGACAAATGTCCTGTGCTTAAAATGCTAGAAATCATGCCCAAACGTTAGTAGAATCCGAAGAGTACGGAAGACTCCGCTAATTCATCGATAGTCAGCACTGCAAACTTTGTCAAACTCAAAATACACATACCAGTTTCTGTGCTACATCCTTCAACTCTGCTATATCTGGGCTTTCATCGTCATCTTCCTCCTCTTCTTCTTCTTCTTCACTTTCGGATTCTTTTCCTTCATCTTTTGCATGTTCCGCTTCCACATCTTCGGAGGGTTTTACTTCTTCACTTCGTTCCTCGTTCTTTTCGTTATCTCCCTGTTCGTCCCAAAATCCAGGGCACTCGTTCTCTTCTTTCTTTACTTCCTTTACAGGACTTTCTTCTTTCTGATCCCAGAAACCAGGGCTGTCATCCTCATCCTTCTTAACCTCTTTTACTGGGCTTCCCTCTTTCTGATCCCAGAATCCTGGACTATCGTCCTCTGCTTTTTCGTCTTTGGCAGTATTGTCTTCGTCTTTCTTTTCATCCCAGAACCCTGGACTATCATCCTCCTCTTTTTTCTCGTCCCAGAAGCTTGGCTCTTCTTTGGCGTCGGTCTGGTCGCCGTTCGGCGTTTCGTCGAGGCCGTTCTCCGCTGTTGTGTGCTACACAGAGCCAGTCGTCAGCACCAGGGTCAGCACGACCACAAAACAACATCTCACAGTCAGGAAGACAGAACACTCAGTTGTTCAGTTGACAGAACGCACAGTAGCGACTAATAGTGACCCATTCGACAGTCTTTATCACAAAAAACGAACTGCATCCTGCATCGACCACCGTATTTTAATGTAGGCTCAACAATAATTTATAGGCATTATATACTTATACCTATATATATATATATATATATATATATATATATATATATATATATATATATATATATATATATATATATATATATATATATATATATATATATATATATATATAATATATATATATATATATATATATATATATATATATATATATATATATATATATATATAATATATATATATATATATATATATATATATATATATATATATATATATATATATATATATATATATATATATATATATATATATATAGAATAGATAACCTGAAACACGTCGCTCTCAGCGTATCATGGAAGGGCATCATCAATAGTCAATACAGTGCTGCCATTACATTCCATCGGACAAAAAAAGGCCCAAGAAAAGTTTAAAAAGCCTCTGGTCTGGACGCCGTACCTCTTTGATGGAGGCGCGCCGGTTGGCGGAGAGGATGTCCTGGGCGGTGTTCACCTCGCCCTCGCTCAGCTTCAGAAACTGGTGCAGCTGATCGGTCTCGTTGGCGTAATCGAAGGCGTCATAGTCCTGCCGGCAACAGGCGGTCGGCAAGGGCCGTGCCAGCGGGCTGAGGCGGCCAACGGAAACGGCGCCGGACGCGGCCCGACAGCTGCGGCCAGCGGTCAGTCGAGCCGGGCGGTCAGCCGGTCAGCGCTCGGCCGAGCCAGCGGCCAGCGCTCGGCCGAGCCAGCGGCCAGCGCTCGGCCGAGCCGGGCGGGCAGCGGTCAACGCACAATCGACACACTGCACACAGATACCTCGAACTCTAAGGCAGTGGTAGACTATTTTTGATCTAGCAGATACCAGATTACCATGATGATTTTATGTTAAATTTATCCTAACATGATTTTTTGTTCCGAGTATAGTGATTTTAAGTGACAGATGTGAGTCAGATTAGGACATGTCCTCAGCTTCCAACAGAACGACGACATTTTATGTCTCGGCAAGCCGTAGACATAGCATTTCGGTGAAAACATGATTTCAACTGCAATCCATGAAGGCAAAGTTCCTCTGCAATATGATGCAATCAAGTCTATAGAAATGACTGTGTATTATAAATAACTTCTGAATAATATATTTCAAAAATAGGCTCCCATGCTTGAATGGACACATAGACAGAGGGGGCCAAGCGAAACTTATCACGCAGGTCCCGGCTTATACCATCCGGTACCTATAAGCCGGGATGAATTCCGGGTTGAATGAAAGTCGAACAGGTTGAATGAGAGTTGAACAAAAGGGCAATCACCACTTTTGGCTCTCTGAGGACCACCATTTTACAGGTCAGCTTGTCCAGAGGACAGGCCATCACATTCTGCGGTATTTTCGGGGTCGTATGAGGGCCGTGGTCGGCACTTTGGATTGCTTTTGCATGGTAGAGGACAGGACATCGACTCGTACAAAAAAAAACATCTGGAGTGAGCGTGATATATGAACAATGATTCTCCACCAGGCACCATGTTATTTTCCAGATCATGGCCCAAATACCTGTACAAACCCCTGTGGTTAAGGAATGGGCCTAGTGCAAGATACATTTACATACAACTATGAGGAGTTAGCACCTTGCTTTATAAAACAAGACAAATGAAGGCTTATGCATTAAACATTGCCTCAAAATTATTTGCCAAAATCGATTTTGGAGGTAAAACGCATATATAGGATACTGTGACTGTGTAGGTCATGACATCTAGTGCATGCTCAAACACCCAAGAAACAGGAAGAATGCTCAGTCAAGTTTCTATAGACATTGGGGATGCCCAGTGGCCGCATACACAGAGGCAGCTCACCCCGTTCACTAACTTCACAAGGCTTTTAATGTGAGCACTTGATACTGTTGGAAACTAGTATATAGTTAATTCCCAGTCCACACAGCACACCATTAGCATACCTTATGACATTGACAAATAGGTACTAAATACTGACACTTGAGGGTTATTATAACTTTTCACATCTAAGCAAACACCTGCTAGTTAGTCAGCAGAAAACTAAAAAAATACCAAAGCTAGAAATACAGTGAAATAGCATTCTCTGAAGATTTGACAAGATGGACATTACTTATATGTAAAAGGTATGTGGAAGGTAAACAACAGGCAGTAGGTACAAGAATACATCCCAAAAGGCAGAGTACCTATGTGGTGGGCTGGTGGCCAAATAAGCATGGTAGGTACTTACACCACAGTAGTCCTTGTCATTGAATATCTGTGGTGGCAGGGGGTTCCGGTCCCCCTCCTTTGCTTTGGCGGTCTCCTGCATAAATTTTCTCTCATCCTCACAGCCAGCTTCCGTAATGTCTATCAGCTCATAGGCAATGGCACACGAGTCCAGCACAGTCTGAATCCGCTGCTGGCGCTTCTTTACCTGGAAAACACATGTTGGGAAAAGGCCAGGAATCAGTCAGCTGCCATTTATAGAAAACTGATAAGGCATTTATAGATAAAACTTTAAAAATATTACAATAGATAGATATTTAGTCATCTATATCTCACATCGGTACCTATACAACAAGCTCTGCTAGTGCCACCATACAGCGCGAGCTGGCAAATAATCTAGTTAATAGTACGACCCGGCAAAAGGTTTAACAATTTTACTTGGAAGTCCCCCCCACAATCTTGAATATCATGTGTTTCCAGGGGTTACTTGCCTCATAGTTTCCAGACAGCCCAGAAACGTATATTTTGATTGTCATCTTGACTAGCTACAGGAAGTCTAAGGCAGCATCCAAACAAACCAATCTTCCGTAACAGAAAATACACTACACTGATATTTTGAACAATTCACTTTAAGCTACGAAGTACTACTGCAAACAAAATGCCACAATATGCGTGCACTTCAACGCACTTCCTCAAGATTCAACAATACAAATAGGAACTGATCACGCCCTCTGACTGGTATCATTTAGTGACGTTTTGTTTGGTATGAACTTGCTAATCTCTGACGTCATAGAACGTACAGCTCGGCATATCAGCCAATGAGAATCGATCTTTTATCGTCTATTTTAGTCGATGACGTCATCGTTCGATGTTTGTGCTATGAATAAAGTAGTGAATAAAGTACACCTGATGAGGCATATTTGCCGCACCCTATTTGTCAAAGGCTAAAGAAAAGCGCTACCATATCTCAAATTTTCCCTTCAGTGGCGGTGGAAAACGGGAAGAGGGGGTCGCAGTAGTAAAGGAATCTTGGGGGGGGGGGAGGGGTCGCAGGAGATGCAGCTGGTTCATCTGCAACTTTTCAAAAGCATACATTTCCGTACCCACGACAGCCTGGGGGGGGGGGTCGGATCCGACCCCCCCTGTTATCTCGAGAACCAATGGTCGCATCGAGCCCCGCGAGGCGGCGTTCGAAAGGTCTCTACGAGACCTTCCAAAAGCACTCTTAACGGGCCTATTAGTGGCAGGCTCCTGGCTACCCCATATTAGTGGCAGGGGGGGCTGTTTACGACCCCCCCCTTGATATCTCGAGATCTAACCGGCCGATTTTCAAAATTCAAACGGCATTCGATTTGGCTCAACGAGATCTAGGGGAAAGTGGGTGTATTGCGCCCTCCTAACCAATTGCGCCCACCAACATTCCCACGGATTCAATGGCATGATTAGAATTTTGTGTTCGAAAACATTATTTTCACCACTGGATAGTTCCTTTTATGGCCCAAGCTTTCCGACGAAGCCAATCAGCAAAGCTCATTACGCCATCAAAGATGTTACGGCGTTTTCTTAACTTTTTTGCAGTATTTTGAACCGTTGGCTATAAAAATTTGCGATATTTGTGTGATTTTCAGAGTGATATTTAGAAAGAAATCCCCTTTTTTAATTAAATTCACTGAAACAGTAAACTTCCTTCAACATCTTTATGATAACTTCATAGGCGTAGGAACAGGGGGGGCCAGGTGGGCAAGTGCCCACCCACTTTTCGAGGTGGGGGGGCCAACCATGTGTTTTGGCCCACCCACTTTTTACTCGAGGCCCCTCGTCTCGATTTGAGAGGACGTCGTCACCTTCCAGAATAAACAAACTCGGTACAAATAAGTTCCACGAATCCCCACGCACGGACTCCAAGGGGCCGTGATGGATCCAAGGAGGCCCTCTGTTCATACTTGTCAGTCGAAGCCCTTGAGACTGATGGCCTGAGAGGCCCTAGTGGATCTGAGGAGGCCCCAATATCCGCACTGGTCTGGGGAGGCCCCTGACACTGGCGGTCTGGGAGGCCCCTCTATCCACACTAGTCAGAGGTCTGAGACTGGTGGTCTGGGAGGCTCCTCCATCCACACTAGTCAGAATAGGTCCCTGACACTGGCGGTCTAGCCGAGGCCCCCTACCCTCACTAGTCAGAGGAGGCCCCTCTAACCTCAATAGTCAGAAGAGGCCCCTGAGACTGATGGTCTGGGAGGCCTATCCATCTACACTGTAGTCAGAGGAGGCCCCTGAGACTGATGACCTGAGAGGCCCTTATAATCACACCAGGCAGAAGAGGCCCATGAGACTGATGGCCTGGGATATATCCACACTAGGCAGAGGAGGCCCCTGAGACTGATGGTATGAGAGGCCCTCATATTCACACCAGTCAGAAGAGGCCCCCGAGGCTGATAGCTGTGAGGCCCTTCTGCTCATATAACTGGCCACTGGAGGCCCCTAAAACCGGTGGTCTGGGAGGGCCCTCTATCCACACTAGTCAGAAGAGGCCCCTGAGACCGATGGTCTGAGAGGCTCTTATATTCATCCTGGCCACAAGAGGCCCCTGAGACTGATAGTCAGAGAGGTCCACTCCTAATGAATCTGAGGGGGCCCTCTATCCACATTTACACTTTTCTAGGGAGGCCCCTGATGGTCTGAGAGGCCCTTTTATTTATACTGTCCACAGGAGCCCCCTGAGATTAATGGTCTGAGAGGCTCTTCTATTTATACTAACCAGAGGAGGCCCCTAGGATTGATGGTCTAACAGGCAGACTGGTCTTTGATTCATCTGTGATTGAATCGATTGGATTGAATCAAATAAAATTTGTTGAATCAAAAAGGTTTGATTCACCGTCAGGATTGTTTGATTCACAAGCCATTATTGAATCAAACGCATTGGGAATCAGGGCTGATTGAATCAAAACAATTAATGATTCATGAACTTGGATCATTCCTTTTATGGTTTTTTTTGATTCTCTGAATCAAAAGGAATCGATTCACTAAATTTTTTGAAGGAATTAAACGGTGATTGAATCAAACAAAAATCAAATGAATCAATGATTGAATCGATCCAAAAAAGGTGAATCAAAAACCAGTCTGCTAACAGGCCCTTCTATTTATGCTAGCCAGAGGAGGCCCATGAGACTGATGGTCTGAGAGGCCCTTCTATTCAAACTAGGCAGATGAGGCCCCTGAGAATGATAGTCCGAAGAGCTATGCGGCGGCAACTGGCCGTGGCCATATTTCGGCTCGATAGGGCCCCACAGAGCTCATGAGAGCACCTCAAGGGCTCCTAAGTAGACACGCTTATCCCCATAAGGCTGCCACGCCGGCTTCTGAAGGCTCCTTGTAGGCATCTAAGGGCCTTTTCCGGCCTCTAACGGCTCCACCCGCCTGTGATGGCTCCACACCAGTGTTTATGAGCGCCACACAGCGGCGCCTTTGAGGGTCATACTAGTGTCTCTTAGGGCCCTATATCGGTGGCTCTGGGGGCCCCACACCGGCGCCTCTGTGGGCCACCACACCTGTGCATCTCAAGGCTCTATAGGTACATCTGAAGGACCCACACCGACACCTCTGAGGGCCCCACACCAGTATCTCGGAGCTCTGAAGGCCCCACACCGGCGTGGTGACTCTGAGGACTCACCGGCTCCTGAGAGCACTATGTTGATGTCTAACGGCTCCACAAGGCCACTGAAGGCACCACACGAGCTCTCACTGAGCTCTAATGTCCATGTACCGGCCTCTGAGGGATTTAAGTCAAAGTTTTCATAGCTCCACACCAGCAATTGTATAAAAGGCTTCACACTGAAGTATCTGAGGGTTCCACACCGGTGTCTCTAAGGGCCACATACCGGCATCTCTGAGGGCCCCATACCGGCGTCTCCGAGGGTCCACATCTGGCGGGCACCCATCAGCGACTGAAGGTCCCACACTGTCGACTCCGAGAGCCCCATCTGCGTCTGGGAGCACCATGCCGTCTCTAAGAACCACAGCGGCTCCTCCGTACGAAAGATGGGCGTCTGCATGCCAAAGGGGAGCGGTTCTAAGACAGTAGGGCACCTACGTGCAATAGAGGGGCGCCTATGAAGCCGATAGGGGCGCCTCAATGCGAAAGAGGGGCGCCTCTGAGGCCTACATATATGGGCGTCCACATGCAATAGAGGTCTGCAGCAATTGATCAATGCCATGGCCCATGGGGGTGCATTCATAAGAAACAGGGGCGCCGGCATGGCAAAGAGAGGCGCCTTCAAGTGTCCATAAAAGAGAGACGCCTATGATAAGCGCACATTGTATGCGACAACGGGGCGACTGTGGGACATATAGGGATGTCTCTGATGACTATACATAGGGCACTTATATGCCAAAGAGGGCGCCTATGAAGCTAATGGGGGCACCTGGGAAACAAGGAAGACATCTTGTGTAAGGGTTTTCAGGGGTCATGCGCCGCTTGCGGCAAATAGATTCTAAAAAAAATCGGAGGGGGAATAAGTTTTAAAAATGGTGCGGACTTTCCGCACTGTTCGCCCCTGGGTACATCTGCCCGATCTCAGAAGCTAGATTTGGAGGTCATAGTTGAAAGCAGCCAGCAGGACGAGGCAAAAGTTGGAGGCCTCTGAAAATAGGAGGCCCCCTGGAAAAGGAGGCCCCTTGACAGGGTGGCCCACCCACTTTTCATGACGTTCCTACGCCCGTGGATAACTTCTACGCTTTTATTAAAAAGTACCTCAATTTTAATTGCGCCCATGGCAATTGCGCCAGGGGGACGCAAATAGAATAATGATGTAGCTATTGTATCACGACAGTATGAATGCATCATTAACTGATTGCAATAAAGAAGGAGTTTAATAAGCAGGCAGGGGAGCAACCCGCTGTCGTCAGTCCGCAAATTATTTCTCTCGTCAAACTTATAATGCAGCTGCCATTTAGGCTACGAACTTGTGGTGTAACTGACAAAATACATTTTCAACATGGACTCAGGCGTGAGAGGTGACAGCTATGATAAAAAGGTAAAAACTGATGTCATTAAGTTGTCGAAACGATAAAAAAATTATTAATTTTGAGAGAAACGAATGAAAATTTAACCGTATAAGCGCATACGTTCACATATATCTAGTCGGTTACAGTAAACGCTTTCGTTGCACGTTTACAAGCGTACGGACACATGTCAAGTTATCTACCTGGGCAAAAAACATCGCGATTTATATCTACATTTATTATTTATCCAGCCTGAATAACATTATAAATGTTTAAGTAAGCCGCAATGACATTAGAATACCGGGGCGTATGCATTTCGTCTCATTCGATTAGCCATGTTAAAGTATAGGGCGCAATTGGGTTCTAATTGCGCCATCCCCCTGGCGCAATTTACAGCAGTTGTTGGCAAATGCGCCCTTTTGCATGTTTCTGAAAAAGCAGCTGTCAGAAGCAAACGAAACATTCTTAATTGATCGGGAGGCTCTTAAATCGTAGCCAATGAGTTCCTCTTTGAAATGGTTACCAGTGCATGCTTATATCTCCAGCGGTTTTCTTACAATTAGCGTTTTTCCTTAAGGTGGCGCAATTCACCCTCCTTCCCCTACATTTCTTAAAAAAGAAATTAAAAAATGTCAATAGGGGGGTAGAGGGGGGTAAAAACGGGCAAATTGCAGATACATTTTAGACTGTTTATCACGGCTAAGTTTCTGAACCAATCTTAACGCAACTTTTGCCGATCAATAGAGAATGAACCAGGAATTCACATGGATCCTAAAAATATGCATTTTCAAAAATCATAGGCGGATACAGATCATTGAGATTGGGGGTAAACAAAAAGTATAGTAAATAAGGTTTTTGTTGGTACTGTTTCTAAAAAGGGTGGCAATGGTCTTGTTATGTTACAATTTTCTTATGAGAGAACGACTATGTCCGAGGTCGCAATGTCCGACCATCTCCCAAAGCCACAGCGTCTGCGCGGCGTCGCCGCCGACGTTCCATATAAGGTGTGCTCCGTCGCTGTCGACACGTGCACAGCAGCTGAGAGCGGCCCCGTGAGCGCCGTGCACCTCATCTGTGTCATCACATCCGCTGCGGCTGGCTGCTCCACCACCGAGCACCACCAGAGAAACATGCACAGGGTAAGAGGCACGGACAAGTTAACATGTAATATTTCTCGTTTCCGGACACCCAATAACAGTGCAAGTCTCCAACATCTAAGTACGGCTCTAGCGAGATTAAGCAGTAGGTTTTGCACTTTTACATTTCCGGTTATATTTCAGAAACTAATCGATCTACGACGAAGCCATTTTTTACGATCATGGCCGGCTTGTGAACCAACAAGTCGATCGCATCTTCAAACACTTAAGACCTTAAAACGACGAAGATATAGCCTGAAGTACGTTAATTTTTCTTGGTGCAAAACCTACCGCTAAAACCCGCGAGCCCTGTACCTACCTTGAAACGGGAGGTGCACGTAATTACCGAATGGTATTCCTCACCTCTCTAAAACAGCGATCTTAAACCTATTTCTTATTCGATTACAGTAAAAAACAAAAGGCGTCCCAGCACTAATTCAACATAAATTTGTCAAAAATTACAAAGTACCCAAGTCGCTTAATGGATAACTCTTCCGTGCTTAAAAACAAAAACAAGAAATGCGATAAAGGAATAATGCAGGTTCGAGATACATTCACGAAATGTGCATTAGGTACCCATGTGTCATTTTCTATAGCCATTTGCTAAAAAGAGCTCTAACAGATGATTTCAAAGCAAATAATTCAAAAATTAAAATCGTTTTTTTTTTTTTAAGACGAAACAAAATTGACTCAATCACCACGCATGGAACGTCTTGGGTTCATTAATCCGCCCCGGGCCGGGGGAGGGGTGTTTGAACACCCCCACTGCGGTTTATCGCAGATATCTCAAAAACGGCGGCGCGGAGCACCGCCGTTTTTGGCACATCTGTTCGCGCATCTTTTCCGCACATGTTGTGGAAATTTCAGACCCAGGTCACCTTAGGTCAGGTCACCAGGTCACGTCAAGTGACCTCACCTCAGAAGAAAATAAGAATGCTCGTCATAGCTACACCGATTGATCGATTGCCTTGAAACTTTCAGCGATTGATTAGAGCAACATTATCTATAAAATGTATATCTCGGAATTTTGATATCGGTGACCTAAGGTCAGGTCAATTTTGCGACCTCTCCATTATAAGTCAATGGGAGAAAATTGAAAAGCGTCTATTTTGCACGAACGCTATTCTAGACACTCTCAAACGTCGAGATTTAGGTAAAATGGACACACTGAACCGGAAAATGGCAACTGTGACCCCTCGTTATGTCCCCGAGGTCATCTCAGGTCACGAACAGAATCTAACCGTTTTTCGCTAATAACTTCTGATAGAGACGTGCTAGAGCGCTGAAAACGCCTTAGATGTGTTCGGCTCGACGTTGCAGATCGACTGATATGCAACATGACCTTTTCCGGTCAGGTCATGACCTTGACCTGAGGTCAAATTATAGTTCATTCGACGCGTCTCGACGAGAGGAACACGATGGTGGCAAAAGTAATGTCGTGGCTCTTTTGAGTCAAAAGTTATTGCCGAAAAAACGTTTTTCGTAAAAACGGCTATTTTTGGAGTTTTTGCCCTCTGGAGGCTAAACCGTTGACCTGAGGTCAAATCTGAGAACATTACTCAGAAAGGTCTGCAAAAGGGCTATCGAATGCGCTTTTCTGCGGCGCTGTAGCTTTATCGGCTCCCGAGATAGCCGTTGGCAGTTTCCAAAATGTTGAAATAGTGGACATTTGACCTTTGCTGACCTCTGGTGACCTGACCTTTCACCTGACCCAAAAAATGACCGAAGTGTTTTCGTCCTTATTTTGGACGTTCTTTCGATTGCCGCTTACCGCATGTCGCTACGTGGCCCAGGAGCCGAGTTAGAAGGGGGGGGGGGTTCAGACACCCCCCGGCCCGGCGCGGAATCTCAGAGCACCGGCCGGCGCGGGTTAACAAAATGCGTTAAGATGTGGAGAAATCCAGAAACTTAAAGGAAAAGGACGTGATATAACGTTGCTATATGACAGATCATCTCAATTTTTCTTGTTTATGTAAAAAAATCAATATTTTTTATAGAAGACGTCGTGTAGGAGAAATATGAAATACTGAAGATTTTAGTTGCAGTCTCGAGGTGTGAAGACATTGCAAGATTAATGGAGCAGAACAGATTCTGCTTCTCGGCCTCAGCAGGCGTGGATCAAACCAGTCAAATCTTGAGTCAAACCCAGAGGCCAGATCAAACCAGTCAAAACTTGGGTCAAATTCAGGTCAAACCAGTCAAACCTCTCGCTGTCGGCACGTTTTAAAATATTTTTGTTTGTGACTTAGTCTTAGTCTATTTAACTGCATCTGAGTGAAGACCTCAGAGTCAGGCAGGGCTATGATTTCAACCGATGGTGGCCCCACATATCTCGTGGTTTGACAACTCCCGATGAGTAACAATCGTTGAACTCTCAACTCCGCTATTCATCCGATGAATCGATTTTCAGGTAAGCCGTTGTACCAATGTGTAACGCATGCGTGCACCATTGGATAAGTTGTTTAATAAGTCAGGCTCACGAGCTCAAAGTGGCTCGTAGGCACTGCTTAACAAGTTGTGCTTTCAGCCTTCTCCCAGAAAGGCATACCGACTTAAAATGCTCACATGATAAAAATCTTATGTCCTGAACCCTACAGCTAACTCAGGAATGTCATGTTCTGCCTCTGAGTGAAGTTATTTGATCCCTACCGTCCACCCCTGTCAATCCCGACAAAATGTCAGCATTTCATATGTGGTAAAGAGATAGTATAACACTGAGTGGGTTGGCCGTCTTTCAGGTGCAATGAGGCTGGGTGACTGTCTCTCAATGGGGCTCAGCTGGGCGAGTGTAGCAGGCCACTGGAAGGAAAGTAATGGCCATCAATAATCACAGTTACTCCGTGGACTTTGGGGCATAGTCGCTCACCTATCCTGATTCCTGAATATACATACATAGGTATGTATATGAGCTTGGGCATAAGCTTTGAACCATTTAACTATCCATTATGTTATCCATTTTGGAAAGAGTAGTTTCAGCGGAAGTAAAATGGTTTAAGGTGGTGTGGTTTGCACACTCCCCTTAAACTTCATCTCATTTTCAAAAAGGCTCTTCGAATTTCGCTTCGTTGTGCATTGTTTTGCGGCTTCAAGCAATCGAGCCTTGTTATTAAAATTGTTTTGTCTTCTTCTATGCAAGAAAAATGACACAAATTTGTCAATTGTGGGCGCTGCGGGAGGGTCAAATGCCCCCCTATGGATCTGCCAGTGCCGCCCGCTGCACTAACCGAGTCACACCGGACGCGGAGTGCTCCACAGTGGCTGTATCGCGTCTCTGCTGGGACCAAACAGTGGTAATACGGCCGGACAGCATATCGATAGGCCACGTCTGGGGGTAATGTTAGACGGCCGCCGAGCCGACAGCCACACGGGGCGGTATCGGCAGGGGGGCTTATTCTTATTTGTTGTTTTTAAAAGAAATACAGTCGGAATAATTTGATGAGTGGTAATGGGAGCAGACCCTGTTGACTCGTTGGTTGTTGCACGATGTAATCACACGACAGCGTGAACCCACTACGAGACCTCTATTATTCAACCGGTTCACTGATTTAAGTTCAGACCGAATGTTTACTTAACCCGCGCGGGGCTGGGGGGGTAAATTTTACCCCCTCGCGAATTTTTGCAATATCTTAAAAACGGCGGCGCGCAGCGCCGCCAAACTTTCAGTACCTTTTCTTACATCAATTTGACACGTTCCCTGAAAATTTGAGCGAAATCCGTCGGAAATTTTTTGGGAAATTGACGTTTTAGTGACGTCATGTTCGCCATTTTCGCCTCAAAAACGGCAAAATTTCAAACGCCGCTAACATCTTCATTTTTAAAGGAATAAAGACGTAACAAAAAAGGTTATATGTAATTTTACTTTGTCTATCAAATGGTTATCTCGGTTTTTTGAAAATTTTGGATTTGGGCCTAAGTTTTTTCAAAAAACTGACTTTTTTGGGAAAATGATTATAAAATCCAAAATTTTGAGTCTATCGAAAAAACCGGAAGATATGTCAGAGAAATGGTCTATGTGCACCTACATACCAAATTTTAGAAGAATCGGTTCAAAAATGTGGGAGTTATTCAAAATTGTATGACGTCACGACACACAAATTTTTGAAAAATGACTTTTTTGGAAGTTCTAGACCTCGTACGGAAACAAAAATAGCACCATTCGATTCGCCGTGAAAAACTGCATCAGATAGACACCTTTTTAGGCCTTAACAACCAACTTCAAAATTTGACCTCACTTGACCTGACCTTGACCTGACCTCGACCTGAAATTCATCCAAAGGTGGTCCATATCACTTATTGAGTGTGCCTATTGAATTCTATGAGTAAAATGACCCATAAAACATGTGTCATACATGCCCTTTTCTATATTTTGTTTTTTGGTGACCTGACCTGACCTGACCTGACCTTGACCTTGACCTCTGAATGATATTGTATGCAACGAATATTGTCTTGGTAGCCTAAGAACACGTTTTGGGCGATCGGTCTCAGTCCATGACTCCATTCTTCGGCAACTACGGTGCAAGGCCGATACTGTAGAAACTTGCAATTTGTACCCTTGACCTGACCTCGACCTTGACCTCAAACTTTAAATTAAGTACATGTTTTTAGTTGTTCGTGATGAGAGCTTTCGATTGGCGTTTGCATTTTCCAAATCGGACCATTAGTTCGGGAGATAACAGGGGGGGGGGGTAAAATTTATCCCCCCCCCCCCCAGCCCCGCGCGTTCGGCTGGAGACCCCAGCGGCAGCCCCGCGCGGGTTAATGCATCCCAGAGGATAGCGACTCGGTCCTACTTGGTCCAACCGATTACAGTTGAAAAACAAGGAAAACTCAGGAAGTCAAGATGGGATTAATTGGAATTTTTTCTAGATGATGCACGGAAGAGCCCAAGTCTCTAGGTTATCCCAGAAACTGGGATGCGTGAAATGTAAAGTTCAATTATATTTTACTCAGAAAAAAAAAAAACATAACAATGCCGGAATGTCTCCAACTGAAACAAATATGTAGAGAGGTAGCGCCATGATTGGCTCGAAGGTGCACTGTGCAGTGTGCAGGTAACCATACCCTAGTGCGATGGTGCGACCAACTTCTCGACACCAAGCTGTCAAAGTTTTAAATAGGGAAGAAGCGAAGCAGGTGACTCACAAAGTTAAATGGATGTGTCAACTGTCAGGTCGAGCTCATGTAGTGTACAACCTGCTCTGTGACTTAACCCCTTCAGAGATGTTTTAGAATTAAGTTCATATACTCCATAATCAGATTCGAGACTAGCGAACGATAAAAGCGTTTATTTTAGTGCAACCAGCTTTGTGCTTTTATTTCGGTGTTTGAGAAATATTTGCTTTCGGGCAACAAGCAACATGTTTTTTTTTAACATTAGGTATTCACTATGCATGCTGAATGTCCATTGTTCATCAGAAATCGCTGCATAGCTTTAGCCCATGCTATAGAGGCAATCATAAACGCTCCCTCCCTGCTTTTTATACTGCAGCTAGTCGAAGATATAGGCAGGGTATAGGCTGCACTGTCTGTGTGAGGATCGAAAATTAGGAGGACTCATTGGCCATTTATTATCATCAAATACCACAAACTCCCCATTTTGTTCAGCGTGCCCGGTCTTACTCCCGTCGCTGACACGTCGCCACGGGACCTGTTCCCACAGACCGAGTCGCTGCTGGTGCTCTGCGGCGCGATTGCCGTCCTCCTGCTGAGCGGCCCGGCCCAGGCCAGCATCGGGTCCTGCGTCCGGTGAGTGGGGGGGGGGGGACAAAAATAACTGCATTTTGACCTCAGTGCCCTCAGTTCACTGTTGAGCGAGTTGCACAAAAAGAAGTATTTGTGGACTTGACTTCCTGGCTGACTTGACTGACATGACTGACTTGAGAAGTGCGCTGTCATGACTGACCTACGGACCGGAAAGTAAATAAATAAATAAACACTAATCGCTGGACCGTATCGACAATGTAGACATGCATTGATTCTCGGGCTGTCCGCGAGCACCGCTTCTATCGGTGCGGGATGGTCGTCAGTGCACGCTTTTATGTCTCAAGGCCTCATTTTATACCAAAAGGAGACGCCAACGCCCTCTCAGATATACGTCAGACCTAAGAGCTCCCAAGAACGTTGACGGCTCCTTGAGGCTTACGTCTCTCGTTACCCAACCATCAATCGTTCCATCTCTCGTTACAGAAACTGCGGCCAGTGCAAGAGCATGTACGGCCGGTTCTTCCAGGGCACCGCCTGTGCGGACGCCTGTCTGGCCGGGAATGAGGGCCCCGACTGCTACAACCCCTCGATGGTCTCGCGCTTTCTGAAGCGGCGAGCCTCGCCGGTGGTCCCCGCGTCCCCCGGGCTGGCGTCCCTCGGCGGCAAGTACGAGTATTACAGCGTGGACGGCCAGCCGGCAGAGGCGCCCATTTCCGGCAGCTCGGCTCTCTTCAGAATGCTCTCAGCTCGAGGAGTGGAGGCGCGGAAGTAGCCCCGGCGAGCTCTGCACCTCCATTACGCATTTCCCCTCGTGAACTGACGAACATGACCTCATTATCACTCTCCGCCTGATAGCATTCATACGCGTGTGAATGGGCGCTACTATGTGTATGAGGAGATATTGAAATATAAATAACATGCATTCGCAAATGATGCAATCAGCAACTGCGTTTCGATCTTCATGCGTCAATAAATAATAAATACCGTACGTTGAACGCTCCCAGGATAACAACTCAGGAACGAAATATAGGTATATAGGTACTGGCTGCTGCAGGCAAAAGGCCAGTTTTTATGTAACGACTAAGGTAGTAGTTATATGGAATGAAATAAATACCCAACATTGCTCCTTTGATGACTTTCTTTCTCCCTTCCCGACCGCTCAGCGGCCGGCGCGGTCTACCTGCCTCCCTTACGGCTGGGACCTGGAAGGTAGGCCACCCGCAGTGCTCTGCTGTATGGCGGCACAGTCTAGACTGCAGGCACGCTGGCGACACCGCGCCCGGCGCTGCTCCCAGAAAGCGACGCGATATAGCCGTAGGCCCATAATGCATGACTCCTGGCGCCATACCGATTGGTTTGGTTACTATAATCAATCAGGCATGTCTGTGCGTTGTAGGTACTCCATCCTCCGGCTGCGCTTCAGCACTTCGAACATACAAATGAACACGTATATGCGACGCGTCATCTCATGAGGAAAATGAAGGTAGCTTGCATCTTCACACATGTATTCATCTGGCTGATTAGTCGAGAAGCGGCTTGAGCTCATCAAATAACATTTGAAACAGCAACTCATCCTAATCAATGCAAAATATATCTTTAAGCTCTGCGTTTTTACGTTTATAAGCTATTTCCCTCAATGGCAGCATTTTTCCTCCGAAATAAAACCCGTTTTTCAATTCTACCACTAGATCACCTATATCGTTTTGGCTTGATATCGTCGTTTTTCTTTTCGCTTCCTTTTTCTAGCAATTAAAAGTCAATAAACGGTGAAATGAATGGCGAATAAATGACCAATTAAGAAATCCCCTTCTTTAATTGCAATGTCAACTGTCAGCCACCTGTCTTTATGGCTCGTACGCCCAATGCAGTCAGCTGGTTCAAGGAAAGGTGCGAAGGTAATACGCTGGCGCAGTGAGATTACTTTATCTACCTGGCCGTCAACTGCGCCGTCTGCATATAGTAATTCAAATAATAAACATCATATCAGGAGGCGTTGGTCTCGAAACATGCATTGCCGACTGATAGAGTATCGTCGACACATCGCCAGGGCCGGCGCAGCTGTAACATTTCTGTTATAATTAGGCAATAGGCATGCCGTGACCATCGCAACAGCACTTATATCAGCGGACAGACGACCGGCCAAATAGCACCGTGGAATGGGAGGGGCGGGGTGGGTGGGTGGGGGGGGGGGGCGCTGATGGCTGTTCATCTGCGGTGTTACCTGCTTAACGGTCGGGGAAGTGCAGTTTCATAATATATGTTTTGCATAGCGCGGTAGACGCTGCATCTTTACGGCCTTTGTGCAGTTTAGAGTGGGATTAAAACATACGATCAGAATTGTGCAACTGGGGTTCAAAAAGCGAAAAGACAGGAAAACGCACGGAAAGGGGAAATTAGCTCTCAACGAGCACGTTAAAACAATCCAGATCATTTTCCGATTTGGTCAGTATTGCAATCACTGTAGGAAATTAAAAGTTAATTTGTTTTTATTAAGACATTTTCTTATAAATGAACGCCAAACTAATTAGCCCATAGAGATGTAGCATTAGAAATAGGGCTTACGATAGTTCTATTATAAGCCTTGCACTAATGTGCCTTCGGATTTGGTCTAAGGCCAACGTTTTGGCCCAGAGGCTCCGGCTCCACCAGCGGGGGACGGGGATGGGGGAGATAGTAGGTGTCCAGACCCCCCCCCCCTCCAATAACTTAACTTCTGTAATGCAGCTATAAATGTATTAGGGTATGTATTTTGGGTCGGATCTCCGCCATCCTGAAACCGTGGCGGAGTCCCTCGAAGGACAATGAACCGTCTAAATGGAATTGCTTGTGTGAAGTTACTCTGCAATAACGTTTGATACAAATAATAAAGTTTGTACACTTGTCATAGACTACACTGTGTAGTGTGTAACCTGGCCAATTCAAATACATGAGTCGGAGAGGTATGGTGTAAACTGCAGTGTAAAATTGACCACGGTCAAAAACGTTAGGTACGGCCCTCCAGGTATTAAGTGGTTGGTTGCCAACATCACAATAGTCGATCTACATTGATGAATACGTCTAATGGTTGTTGAAAACCACTGCCGAAATGTGTGCACGGACCCTCTTCTCATTGCTATTGAGTCATTTTACAGGGTGTCTCTGTCATTTAAAGTTATTACACCAAAAGCACATAGGCTAACCAACCACTCTTTTGCTGGAGGGCCGTACACCAGCTTACACCAGGCATCATACAGTAAAAAACATACCAAACTCGGCCAATAATAAATTTTCAAGGCCTCAGTCCTTTCTGATTTTTGAGCTCCGTCTGCGGCTTCGCTCAAAATTCCAGCAAGAACCTTGGTCTTGAAGTTATTTACACCGGCCTCGTTCAGTATGAGATATAACTAATATGCAATGTACTGTGCAGTGTGCGTTGTGCCCATCTATATACCCTGCATTGTACAGCAGTGACTCTACGAACAACCATTCTTATCAACGAGTGGCGCCGAATGAATTTTAACTAAGTCTTACCTGTGTACTTACATAGTAAACTGATGATTTTGCAAGCTAAGGTCACTTTTCTGAACCTGAACAGAAAAGGTCACTTTTCTGTTGAGGCCACAAAGGTCCATTCATATTGTTACGCGGAACAAACCCATGTATTTTCATTGTTTCGCTCATCTTTCATGTCTCGATTATAAAAACTGCGTTTGTTTTGTTTTAAGTTCTTTATGATAGTGAGCACTGAGCTGATAAGTATTGCCTAACCCTCGTCTCAGATATACATAAAATCCATAGTAACCAAATCGCTAGGAACTCCACTGGTACAATCGCCTACGGAACAAAGTACCGGGACTCGATCCGCCCTTTGCCCATTGGGCTCAGTCCATGGCAGCCGTCAGCACAGACAGCAGCCGCCTGGAACCGGTAGACTGCCGCTTGACGTAAGTGCTTGGCGGCACAGCCTATCCACGCCGTAAGACGCCGGCCCCGGGCGGCATGGATGGAATGCAGTGCGGACCAGTCGTAAGTAACGTCAACGCAGTGCAGACCCCGATGACTTGAGTCCTGTTTCACGACACGACGCTGCCCACTGCTATCAGATATTGGTGCTTTGATTCCATCGAAAAGTAAACAAAATTACAAATTTGCTTTTGCTTCCATAGAAAGCGAACGCCAACGCCTTATAGTATCGTGCAGCGCTGGGCAGCGGTGCACCATGAAATAGGCCCAGCGCTGCCCGGCGCGGTGGCCCTGTTCGGTTTGGCGGCTGGCGCAGGCCGGGGAGTGATGTTGGGCGTGATACACCAAGCGTGAACAAGTGCAGCAGCGGAGGGGCGAATGTGGTCGCCTCTCGGTTGGCACCGATGTCCGATCGTGTGGCCCAACAAATGCGCTCGAGCCGGTGAGTTTTTGTTGCGATTTGAATATTTCTTGTGATATATGAAAAGAGTCCGTCTTACACACATACGAAGCCTGTTTGCTGAACAATCATGCTATATTTCATAATTCACACCAATAAGTTCAAACCACAGTGATGCATAGCAATGCCCAACGGACTGGGTCCACTGTACAGTCTGTCTTGAAAGTACCGCAGCATGGCAGGGTGGCGCTGGTGGGTCGGCGCAGCGGAGGGCGGTCAGGTTTGAGGGCCACTGGATCGCCTGACCCTGGGGGGGGGGGAGGAGGGAGGAGAGGGATGGGCGCGAGTGAGCGGGCTCTCGGTGCTGCCAGGGCGGCAGACAAGGCGCTGCTTTATGAATACTTATACAGAGACACCAGCTAAGCGTAGTAATTCTTTTCCTGGCATGAAAGTTTTGATAAATGAAAATTGATGCTTCCCTTTCGAGCCTCGCCAGACATTTACGTGTTACACATGTAATCCGGCCAGAGGGTAGCGGGTGCGGCCTCCGTCGTTTGGCTCAGATTAAGCAAAAAATTGTGTGCGTGGTTACGAGACACAGTGACTGGTAATTACTTTTAACATTCCCAGTATTGGCCGCTTTATAGCGTCTACTGATGGAAATGGTCCGTAGGAACCCGCCTTACAGCCGTTCGGCTCCTGATCGGCCATTTAAAATGATCAGGTCGGCCCTGATCATTTCACCTGCTGGGACCTGATATTTCCAATCACAAAATGCCTGGAAACGCGTGGATAATATGCGCTGACATGCATGGAATCGGCATCTTGGCCTGACATAGTATCGAGAAAGAGGTTACAGGTCAAAGGCCATTGGGTTCAGGGTCATAATTTTAGGGAAGATATAACATTGATCAATTCGAAGATATTGAAAGTTTTGTCGTGGTCGGTCGGTCGGTCGCTTTTTACGCGAGTTATTCGTGAAAAAGCCGTGAGGTACGCATCGGTTTGAACTCCTCCTGTAAGTGTGAAGGTTAAGATCTCGGGTCGATCGCTGATCTCTCGAGCATTATTCAGTGCCGGCGAGCATTATAACTTTTCCTGAGGCTAGGACACTATAACGTAACCTAAGTGACCCGACCTTGAAAGATCTGGGTCTGATTCATTCCGCCATCACAACTGTTAAGAAAAGATTTAAAATCACTTATCAGGTATGGGTGGAGGGATGTCGCAGCCCCGCCCCCCTCCAACGCAGCAGTGTGCAGAGAGCCTGCTTTGTTAAGTAATAAATCTAGCCAGCTACTTTGAAGCCGAAAATATAAAGAAAAGGGGTTCTGAGTCGCGACGGCGCTGTTCCGACTGCAACTCTAAATCTGACGTCGGCCTGCTGATCGGCTCCGACTCCGACTCTGACTCCGGACCAGTGCACTGCCATAAGATAAACGTATCACTTGCCGGTACGGGGATGGACGCAACTCTCCCGACTCTCGGACTGCTTTGGTAGCTAGACTCTGCAACATTCGTTGGAGTCTGCTAAAATTTTCTGCATCTTATGGAGGGGCAGGGAGAGAGAGAGAGAGAGAGAGAGAGAGAGAGAGAGAGAGAGAGAGAGAGAGAGAGAGAGAGAGGGAGAGAGAGAGAGAGAGAGAGAGAGAGAGAGAGAGAGAGAGAGAGAGAGAGAGAGAGAGAGAGAGAGAGAGAGAGAGAGAGAGAGAGAGAGAGAGAGAGAGAGAGAGAGAGAGAGAGAGAGAGAGAGAGACAGAGAGACAGAGAGACAGAGAGACAGGGAGACAGGGAGACAGGGAGACGGAGAGAGAGGGAGGGAGACGGAGAGAGAGGGAGGGAGAGAGACAGAGAGGGAGGGAGAGAGAGAGGGAGGAAGAGAGGAGTTTTGATAGATCGTTAAACGAATAAAATTCACACTATACAGTCCCGTATGATCTCAACTCTCATCCTGAGCTGAACAGTGAACAGTGAGCACTCAGGAACTGAAATTGATTAACCCTCGCCGGCACAGGCCATTTTGCGTCCTTCGACGGCACAAGGGGGGATTGGTACGACCCCCCCGTGTTTGGCCCCTGATTGAGCTGGAGCTTCGCAGAAAAAACGAGCGTGTTGCCCGTCACGAGAGGAAGCCGATGATACCCAATTTTAAGGTCCTGGGTCATCGGGTGACCTTCCAGGTCAGGTCAATGACCCGAAAACCGGGAAAATCGGGACCTGTTAGAAAGTCTTAAAGTGTGGCTGCTATGTGGTTTTCCGGGGTGCTGATCACGAATATCGTATTAGTTTTGATCAGAGATGATGTCTCTAAGCATTTAGACCAGGTCGGGTCAGGTCAGGTCAGGTCAACCGGTAGGGGTTGTGACGGGTATTCGTAATACGTGTCAACCGCCTCTGACAGCTTCGTAACATGTTACGAAGGCACCAAAACTACTTCGTAAATGTTCAAATGGTTGCTAAATTCGAATTCAGCTCCAAAAACTAGCCTAGAAACATGTAAAACTCGAAAAAGTGAACCGAGGTCACCCGAGGTCACCAAAGGTCAATGACCTGACCTGATCTTCAGGTGACCTTGACACCCACCCTAATGTATGTTATTCGAGAAAAACCTTAGGGGGGTGCATCAACCCCCCCTGTGCCGGCGAGGGTTAATATGCCGCTACCTGTTAATACCCATTATCTCAGTGACCTCCCGCATAAATCCGCATAATTCGTGTTTGGTATACAATTATCAAAGTGATCGTATCCTCTACCTGGAAGTAGGCGCTACGAACAATTGCTTGGCCATTCGATCGTAAAAAAGAAAATATTTGCCTGCAAGTTTTATGGATAGGAAACAAAGGAGTATAATGGGCTAGTTATTTTGTGATGTTTTTATGTAGCAGCCATTGGTGGTCTATAGTTTGAATGGTTCGTAACTTTTTTGGCATGATAGTGATTATACTTGTAACCAAGACTACTTTACTACTCCTTGTAATGAGATGGAAGAAAAGAAGACGAAAAACACCCAAGTGTAGGATTTGCTTTGGCTTCCTTTAGTTATGAGCAAAAGCCGCAAAAGGTTTCCATTCCATCTTACTTCCATTGGCTTTCGCTTTTCGTGTTTCAACCTCAACAAGGGTGGTGAGAATGGGATTTCTTTTTTATCTCGCATTAATAAATCCGAAACAAATTACCTTATCCTAAGTTACTGGATCAATCGATCAGCTTTTAACCCATAGTTCTGAGATTTTCACATTTATTCTGTTCCGTTCCATGATCGTAACTTATTGTTCAATATGTGTCATGTTCTGATAACAATGCAAGCAGTCGCGCTCATCCTTTAGATTGGCTACGTCTGTCTTTTCGTCGAGAATAAAACAGTTCCAAGGGTGAACCGGCAACCGGGGGATCGGCCGGGCCGGTCAAGTTCTCCACTCGTGCTCGCAGACGGCCCGTGCCCCCGGGCGACAGGCGCCGCAGCGGGGTGGAAAGAGTAAGGGAGAGCGGCACCCCACGCGACCTGCCCGGTCACTCTCTCCTGGCTCACTGCCGTCACGTGCTCTGGGGCTCTCAAACCACCGAGCTCCCGACCTTTAGTTCGCCGGGCCGCCGCAGCCCATGCTGCGGTACTTTCAAGACAGACTGTACACCGAGATCATATGCACGGTCTGGCAGCTAGTGACAAAGGCAGCTGATGAGAAGTCCCAGGCACTGGCTGACGCCCGTGACGAGATCGTGAACATGCCGCGGTTCCTACAGGAGTGTTGACGCTCCGGGGACCGCCGGCTGGCCGTCCAGACCGTAGTACTCGTATTTGCCACCGGAGGACGCGTCCTGAACAGCAAGCGGTGCCGAGCGGCGCTTCATGAAGCGCGAGACCATGGACGGGTTTACGCAGTCGGGGCCCTCGTTTCCGGCCAGACAGGCGTCCGCACAGGCGGTGCCCTGGAAGAACCGGCCGTACATGCTCTTGCACTGGCCGCAGTTTCTGCGGAGAGAATTAAAGGAAAACGATATCAGTTGTTGACACGCTCAATTAAGAACTTCCTTAACCCGCGCCCCGTAGGGGGGGGGGGGCCGAAACGGCCCCCCTCTGTCCTTTTCGGTCGATATCTCCTAAACGGCTGGAGATATCGCCACCAAACTTTCAGGACCCCTCCGGGCATCAATTTTACACATTGTGACCAAAAATTTTTCCAGAGGCTATGATAGGTTGGCCACAAATGACGTCAGAGTGACGTCATGTTCTGTCATTTTCGACCGAAAAAAGACCTTCGCGAGAAGACCTGTCAGGACTACAGCTTTGAAGATACAGAAAAATGATGAAGACATAAAAGGTGTAGAATTGACAGGGCTACAAAACTGCTATCTCGAATTTTTGAAATTTTTGAGTTTAGACCCCCAAAAATCAAAAAAGCATTTTTTTGGATATATTCGCCAAAAAATCCAAAAAGTTTTTTGAGTTTCGAAAAAACCGGAATATATGTGATAGTGCCTACCGTCTTCTATCTACATACCAAATTTCAGATCGATACCTCGTTTTTTGGCCAAGTTATAGCGAAAAAACTGTTCAAAAATGATGACGTCAAATTTTCAAACTCAATTTTTGGCAATTCTAGAACTCGTAGAGCAAAACGAAGACCACCATTAGACTCCCCGTGACGAGCTGCATCGAATCGATACCCATTTTATGCAAAATATCAACTTTGAAATTTGACCTAATTTGACCTGACCTTGACCTGACCTTCACCAAAACGTGACCTAGGCTGGCCCCAAAGGCTGCCTAACCCACATAATCGCATTTGTCATGTAAAATGGACCATAAAACATGTATCACACGACACATTCATATTGTGACCCCCGGTGACCTGACCTCGCTGTGACCTGACCTGGTATCAGTGACCTCAGATAGCAAATTATGTGTTTGACGAACAATGTACCATCGATGGTTTTCAATAAATTACCAATTTACTCGCTTTCACAGCACATTTCTTGAATTGCCTGTGAACGGTGAAAATCTGACCTTTGACCTGACCTGTGATGTCATCGGTTTGACCTAGGTCAATGAAATTTGGTCACAAGGTAGTTCCCGGGTGGGGCTATCGAACGCCGTTTGAATTTTGAAAATCGGCCGGTAACTTTCCGAGATCTTAGGGGGGGGGGCCGAAACGGCCCCTCCCCTACGGGTGGTAGGGTCCGCCGATAGCCCTACGGGGCGCGGGTTAATCCTTGGTATCTATCTGCGGAGACTACTGGGAATGTTGCTGCTGAGTACACATCTAATGTAATTAAGTGCGTTTAACCCTGCTTTTGTCAGACCTTATCTAACATAAAAAAACTGAGAAAATCAGATGCCAGTAAAAGCAAGATATTCGAGCCTCATCGTCCAAATTTGTGCAGCTGTTATTTAATTGTTCGAATGTCGCATGAATTCATTTCAAGTCACCCAGATCCAAACATGTCTTACCTGACGCAGGAGCCTATATCGGCGTGGGTCGGTCGGGTCATCAGGAGACAGACGAGAACGGAGCAGAGCAGCACGAGGGTGGACGACTGTGGACGGAGGTGGACAGCACGGTCAGACGAGAGTGGAACACAGCTGTAACAGAGTGGACCACTGTGGACGGAGGTGGACAGCACTGTCAGACGAGGGTGGATGACTGTGGACGGAGGTGGACGGGGTAGTCAGACGAGAGTGGGACACAGCTGTAACAGAGTGGACGACTGTGGACGGAGGTGGACGTACGGTCAGACGAGAGTGGAACACAGCTGTAACAGAGTGGACCACTGTGGACGGAGGTGGACAGCACTGTCAGACGAGGGTGGATGACTGTGGACGGAGGTGGACGGGGTAGTCAGACGAGAGTGGGACACAGCTGTAACAGAGTGGACGACTGTGGACGGAGGTGGACGTACGGTCAGACGAGAGTGGAACACAGCTGTAACAGAGTGGACCACTGTGGACGGAGGTGGACAGCACTGTCAGACGAGGGTGGATGACTGTGGACGGAGGTGGACGGGGTAGTCAGACGAGAGTGGAACACAGCTGTAACACAGTGGACGACTGTGGACGGAGGTGGACGGGGTAAAATGGTTACCAGGGGTAGCAGCAGAGCGTCCGACAGAACTATAGAAGAGCTCCACAACCCATAGTTTTCAGAAAATCATTTATACGCTTAGCATGAGTTTCCGCTATAGGCTTTAGTCTTTACGCCTTACTTTTGTGTACCAAAAAATCACTTAGGAACAATGAACAATGAAACAAAAAATAAAGAACACATTATCATAGGCATAAGAATTGTCCTTTTCGTTAACCACCAGATTCTGGGTAAAACGGCAAACGTGTTGCGGGTAGGTATACCTTGCTCATGTTGTTGGTATCTGTGCTCGGTGGTGGAGCAGCCCAGCCGCAGCGGATGTGACGACACAGATGAGGTGCACGGCGCTCCCGGGGCCGCTCTCAGCTGCTGTGCACGTGTCGACAGCGACGGAGCACACCTTATATGGAACGTCGGCGGCGACGCCGCGCAGACGTCATGTCTTTGGGAGAAGTTTTCCCACTCATGGCTCAATGAGAGCGAACATCGTAGGCATGTGGAGAATGGAGATGATGTACATATTGCACAAACGATATTTGCCAACGCAAAGATATGAGATTGATAAAAAAATCAGCAATGAGCGAGCATGCTTTTCGTCAGGTGAATGGATTACAATCTTGGGTGGCGATACGATTTCATTCCGATCTCGATCGGAAAATGCTGTCAATGCCGGCCATAAAAATATCGGCAAAATCGGTAAGTTTTGGCAAAGCACCCTGGGACCGACCGCACTATCAAGCCCATTAACCCACGAGTCGCTGGGGGGGGGGGGGGGGGGAGGGGGCATAAAGTTGCCCCCCCCTCCTTTACGTTTTGTAGAATATCTCCGAAACCTGATAAGCTATGAACGTGTAACTTGGCATAGCTTCAAATGAATACCTAGGCAATGTTTGAGAAAAGTTTGGTGGTTGTAGTGTAGCGCTTAAAATGACGTCAAACTGACGTCATAAAGTTTTGTCGTTTTCCGATATGGACCGTTTCTGATGTCGCTGAGCATGACACTCAACTGTAAATGAACTAGACAGCACCTGCTGTCATCCTAAAACATCTAAGTAGACTTCCAACTAGTTACTGACCAATAATCGGTCCTTTATATTCGGTCTCATACATCGGATATATCGTGAGGAAACTGAGAGTCGCAAATCTATACTTTGACTTTTGACGTCACTGTGACGTCATTTCAAATGGAATCGACACCAAATTTGGACACAACCTCAGCTAGGTATTCAGGAAAAAGTGTGCAAAGTTTCGCTTCTCTAGCTCTTCGCGTTGCGACGATATCGCTGCAGAAGTAAAGGGGGCAACAAGTAAAGGGGGCAACTATATGCCCCCCCCCCCCCCAGCGGCCGACGGGTGGCGCGGAGGCCCAGCGGCCGCCGGGTTAACTTAAACATAATATACAGGCAATCCACATAATAGCTTTTAATCATCAAGGCATTTTCTCGCGCCCTGCAGTACCTACTTTCATTTCGAATCATTCTGGTAAGTACATCGATCATTTTACATGCGAAGATTCAAACCATAAAAATACCGCATTTCCCTGTGGAAGAGTGTGCCTTCATAGCAGGAAAGAAATGCAATTACAGCCTAACAGTCGAACTAGCTCAATGAAATTAGGACAGATCGAAGTGACAAATTCAACCGAGCTGACCACCGACTGCTTTCCAAATGGCTTTCTAAAATCTAATCGCCAGACGACTTACGCCCAAGAAATTGGATAAGTGTATAGAGTATCGTCGTTTTGAAGACCGACTTGGCCAATATTCATTTTGTAAAGCCTAAAGGAGTAATTACAAAAGTCGTACAAACGAGGCCGCCGAGGGACACCGTATTAGGATTCCTATAGGAAGAATAGGTACAAAAATGTACCATTCCTCCTATCATAATGCATTATAATAAGAAAGAAGAAATTTATCTGCAAGACGGTTATGAATAGGAATCATCGCCTCGAAGTATGTAGGTATTTCCAAGTTACTGGTTTGAAACGTTCTTTTACACTCCTACGCTGAAATAAAAGCGGGGCCAATGACTGACTGACCTGAGAGTGGTAGGCCTTTTCCTTTTTCTAAGGTTTGACACAGGTGCGATATATCATGGACAGTTTTCACAAATTTCGGTCTAATCTGGTAAGTTCCAAGAATATAACTTGACAGCACTGGTTGACGTTCAAATGTATTAAACTGCAATTCAATCAAACAGCTTTTATGCATTTCAGTTAGGCAGCCCTTGGCGTCCTCAATAATCGGCCCGAGCTCAACGTCTTGCTCAAGTCAACGTCCTGACTTCCTCGGATACGCTATTGCCAACACAATATTACACATGTTGGCCGGAATGACCGAGTCACAGATGCCTTGAAATAGGGAATTGCGACAGGTTGAGCCCACAGGTCATGCTAGGTTACCTTGCCTACAAAAAGTTACCGCACTTACACGGACCAAGTCAACTATTCAACGACTGAAGACAGTGAAGAGCCGCAGGCTGCACAAAACACAATTCATATTTCTTTGGCATTTTTCTTTGGTAATCATCATCATCTTCGGCAGTCAATTTCATATCCTTCCACTAAGAATTGCGTGCGAAAATTTAAGCTAGTTATCGCTGAAATTAAATCACTCGTCGTGATTTAATGAGTAAAACATAGATTGCAGTAACGAACACTGGTCTTCATTGAAGTGTCATGAGCACTGAGCATGAACCGAACACGGCGTCTGCGCGGCGTCACCGCCGACGTTCCATATAAGGTGTGCTCCGTCGCTGTCGACACGTGCACAGCAGCTGAGAGCGGCCCCGTGAGCGCCGTGCACCTCATCTGTGTTCGTTACCTCCGCTGAGGCTGGGCTGCTCCACCACCGAGCACAGATACACATCAACATGAGCCAGGTATATACCAATACCTAACCATCAATGGGTAAAATCAATACCATCGTTATAATTAAAAGACCTGGTAAAATAAGGTAAAACGATGCTCTTACATATATATGCGCTTTATAAGAGAGGACTTTGGGAAAGACGTATCTACTTAAGCAAATTTGAGCTCCATGATTAAAGTAATGGGTGAGGTGTTCCACTCTCGTCTGTCTGCTGCTGACCGTGCTGTCCACCTCTGTCCACAGTCGTCCGCTATGTTACAGCTGTGTTCCACTCTCGTCTAACCGTGCCGTCCACCTCTGTCCACAGTGGCCCACTCTGTTACAGCTGTGTTCTACTCTCGTCTGACCACCCCGTCCACCTCCGTCCACAGTGGCCCACTCTGTTACAGCTGTGTTCTACTCTCGTCTAACCGTGCTGTCCACCTCCGTCCACAGTGGCCCACTCTATTACACTGTGTTCTACTCTCGTCTGACCATGCTGTCCACCTCCGTCCACAGTCGTCCACTCTGTTACAGCTGTGTCCCACTCTAGTCTGACCACCCCGTCCACCTCTGTCCACAGTCGTCCACTCTATTACACTGTGTTCCACTCTAGTTTGACCGCCCCGTCCACCTCCGTCCACAGTCGTCCACCCTCGTCTGACTGCCCCGTCCACCTCTGTCCACAGTCGTCCACCCTCGTCTGACTGCCCCGTCCACCTCTGTCCACAGTCGTCCACTCTATTACACTGTGTCCCACTCTCGTCTGACCGTGCTGTCCACCTCTGTCCACAGTCGTCCACCCTCGTCTGACTGCCCCGTCCACCTCTGTCCACAGTCGTCCACTCTCGTGCTGCTCTGCTCCGTCCTCGTCTGTCTATTGTTGACCAGGCCGGCTGACGCAAACATAGGCTCCTGTGTAAGGTGAGTTTTTAGATTGAAGTCAGAGATACTTGTATTCGATGACCGATTATTAGGCAATAACTACGCAATCTCGATATCTGAATGCTTTACACGGTGACGTCCTTTCGACCTAACTACAAGGCAAGGGATCTATTTTAGGGATGACGATTTAGCCCCGAGAAAATGGTATACCTACATCAAGGAAAGGAATGGTTGCGTCCTTCGGATTAAACAAATCTATTTGCTTAAAATAAAAATCTAGACTCCTTGTCCTGGAAGGTACACTATTGTTCAGTGTCATGCATTTCTCAACGATTGAAAGTCATTCCTTTTGTTACAGAAACTGCGGCCAGTGCAAGAGCATGTACGGCCGGTTCTTCCAGGGCACCGCCTGTGCGGACGCCTGTCTGGCCGGGAACGAGAGCCCCGACTGCGTCAATCCGTCCATGGTCTCACGGTTCATGAAGCGCCGCTGGTCGCCGGCCGCCGCGTCGGAGGTGCCCCTCAGCGGCAAATACGAGTACTACAATGTCGACGGCCAGCCGGTAGAGGTGCCACTGCCGAGTGGGCCCGCTCTATTCAAAATGCTTTCAGCCGGGGGAACGGAAGCAAGAAAGTGATTTAACCGCCATATTAGTCCATAAGCCATAAACAGCCCGCCAGAAACGTTCTCTTAGTCTCCACGAGGTACTAGTTCTCAGCCAATGAAACTATCGTGAGATGTATTCGCAATTTGAAATAAAAATTAAAACCGCACCGTAAGTCGCCCGCATTTGTCATGCTCAAACAACTCCTTGAGTAACTGTCGATTGGAGATAGGCAGGTCTGTGATCGATTCTAGGACTTCGCCCCGCAGTGACCTCAAAAATCACACGTACCGCTCCATTTTTGTCCGCCAGCTACCGAACGGGGCCATGCTCCGCTGCCACAAGCCACCTGTTTCAATGACTGATCGGTAACCGTCACCGAGGAATGCTCATACACACACAATGCGGGTAAAAATGGCTGCATGTGACGGGGTGACCAAGGGCTGAGGGTGTCCTGAATCTGCGCTACAGGTCACCAACAAATGAACGTGAAAGGCTTATCGACCACAAGGCGTCGCTTAGACACATCTCAAGAATTTGTCATTGGCATGGGGTGTCTGACGTGATGTCACGGAAAACAACCCAAAAAAATATAGTTTCTTTCCATCGATACCACAATTACCTCACCCTTGTGACTATCAGCGACCTTTGCCGCTGTGGTCACATTCAAAGCCCGTGCATTTTCGCGAGGCTGTGGACTGTGTTCAATAGCGAGATAGCCTGCGCAGTGCGCAATGTGCTCATTGTACAGATTCGTGTGCTTCATCAGCACGTAATTTTCGATGGGAGGGAACGATGCGGTGAGCACTGTCTTTCGTCATCCGATTGCAGTTCATTGCTGACATCTTGTCACAGGCCCCCCGGGCCACCCTCATTAACTTCCAGATCAAGGCCAGCTAAGGGTATTACCGGCGTAATAACTACATATTTCATCCCCATATTTCAGAGCGCGCGCCATTTCTAACACATTTATTGTCAAACAACAATATGTTGTCCAAGGGCAGGCTAGCCAAACATTGCAAGTTCATGAAAGCGGCGACAGTAAAGTGAAATTCCAGTAACAATTATTAGCTCGTCAATGCAAATGCCACCGGCTCAATCACACGACACTGTAGCAAGGTCGATACTCGGAAACACCAACAAATGATTCGACGTGCAACCGTCCGAAAATCGCCAGTCGACGCCTGGCTCAGGTATGGGACAGCCGGGAGGGCGGGAGAGGGGCAGGTTCGCCGTATCTTGGAGCAAGACAACTCGATGGCAGCGGAACAAAAGGCCAGCGCATCACTTTCCAAGCATGATTCCCATACGACTTCCCAGCGTTGAACTGATTGTAAGTGCGTTCCCATCCAGCAGCTTATACACAGCCCAGGCAAACGAGCCGACGGCTCGACGGCCGGTGCTGCCGGGACACATAAGCTATCGGGAGTAGAGCGGGGAACGGGGCTCTACAGCACGGCGGTCGTCCGGAACCATCCCAACTCAGAGGGACCCGCTGGCAAGGGTCCGCGGCTACGGCTCACAACACTGCCTCCATCCGCGAGCGGGAGTCGTCCACGGGGAGGGACACGACACCGGTCCTACTGCATTCCCCGGCCGGGAGGGTCGGCTGGGAGGTGCTCACGTCGCTCCGGGAGGGTCCATGTAGCGGAATGTGCCGGCGCTGCGCCGACGGCTGATGGCCGGCTCTGCGGGACGGGCTCGGAGCTCAGGCCAGCCGCTTGATGATGTGGACGCCGGAGTCGGTCCAGACGGGCTCACTCATCTCTCCGACCTGCGGGCGACACAGAACGTCAGCGACTACTACCGACTGGGACAAGATAAGGAATCCAAAGCAGTATAGCTTCTTCAAAGAAAAACTGATGAAATGTACAAAAAAAAAAAAAATCGACAGCGATGCTGAATAAGCTAGGACTGAGGATTTATTCTAGCAGATAAAAGCCGGAAATGATACAAAATCGCACCCCGCCGCGATCGCCCGTAGTCACCTGCAGCGCGAAGGCGGCGTCCTCGAAGGGTTTTTGCATGGCGCCGCGTCCGAAAGGCCCAAGATCACCGCCGCGCTTGGCCGAGCTGCAGTCGGAGCACTGAGAGGCCAGGTTCTCGAACGTGTCCTCGCCGGAGACGATCCGGTCCCGGTACCCTGCCGGACCGGAACACACCAGTAAGAACCGGAAAACACAGGTCAGAGCCGGAAAACAAAGTCAGAGCCGGAAAACAAAGGTCGGAACCGTAAAACAGCAGTCGGAACCGGAAAACGCAGGTCAGAGCCAGAAAACAAAGGTCAGAGCCGGACAACACAGGTCAGGAGTGGAGAACAACGTCAGAGCCGGAAAGCACAGATTAAAGCAGGAGAACACTAATCAGAACCAGAAACTGCCGATCAAAGCCGGACAACGATCAGAGCCGAAAACACTGATCAGAACCGGAAAATAAAGGCCAGAAGCGGCAAGCACCGGTTAGATCAGAATCATGGTAGACTATGGAATACATGGATAGCAAATCAGCCACATTTTAACAGCGCACTGCAGCGGGTCTGAGCCGAACACGAACTGCAGGGGGGGGGGGGGTTGAAAACAACCCCCCCTGAGATCTCGAAAACGGCGCAACGTAGCGACAAACGGTAAACGGCGTTAGATAGGTGGAGATGTTATATAGAGGAAATACTAGGTCATTTTTGTCTCAGGTCAAAAACGAGGTCACCAGAGGTCACCGAAGACAAAATGTTACGATTTTCACAACAGGAATTTCGCGGTAGTTTTTATTGAATAAATTGTCGTGCACACAAGACAGAGGATCGATTCGAACGCCATCGTTCTTAGCTCGTCAAGGCGCATCGAATGATATATAATATGACCTCGAAAGGTCAAGTTGAAAATTTGACCTCAGGTCAAGGTCATGACCTGACCGAAATAGGTCATGTTGCATATCATTCGATCCGCATTGACGAGAAAAACACGATAAACGTCGAACGGAGTCTCTATCTCTATTCAATCTCAAGTTATTGAAGAAAAACCGCTGGTGACCTCAGGTGACCTAAGATGACCTGGAGATCACCTTCCAAAGGTCATAAGTGATATGTTTCGGTGAAATCACCAACAGGGACCTGTAATACTATGATCCTGAGCGTATTGAAGTCATAGGATGGCATTCAGAGTAAGTTGAAATTTCTCCCATTGACTTATAATGGGCCGGTCGCAAAAATGACCTGACCTTAGGTCATCGATATAAAAATTCCGAGATATACAAGTTGTAGCTCGTGATGACTTTACTATTTCCTGTGGGTTTCAAGATCATATCTCAACAACTGTGGGCTTGGTGGGATTGCAAACTTCGAAATTTACGTTTCGAGGTAGGGTCACTTGACCTGACCTGGTGACCTGGCCATAGGTCACCTGGGGTAAAAATTTTTACTCAAGGTGTGCAAAAGTTGGGAGAATAGGTAAGCAAAATTTTGCGGCGCTATGCGCCGCCGTTTTCTCGCGATTTGCGAAAAACCACAGGGGGGGGGGGCTGAAAACAACCCCCCTGCAGTGCGCGTGTTAATTGTACCAGGTGATACTTGAGAAAAGCATCCTTCACGTTCAGGATTATTTCCCACTTTGCGGAGAACTACCGGCGGACTTACCCTGCAGGATCTGCAGCGCCTCCTCCTTGGTGCGGGTGATGGGATCCTGGCGCCAGGAGGCCGGCCGGCGCGAGTCGCGGTGCTTCACCAGCAGGTGGGACGCCTGCACCTTGGCCGGACCGTCGCCGCCGCCGCGCGCTGGCTCGGTGGGCACCTCCCACTGACTGTCCTTGGTGTACAGGTTCAGGTAGTAGACCTGACCTGGGGTGGATACGCATAGCAGAGGGTCACCAGTCCACACAATATACATCCTACCAATAACAGCATCAACTGCCCATTGATAATGCATTGCATAGGTATCTAGTTACTGCACATCCAATTTCACCAATGACAACATGATTAAATATATTAAGGTAGGGATAGCAAACATTAGAAAATAAAGGACAACCTGTATCCATAGTTGTTAAAAAGTATGAAGCGAGCCTTCATTCTGATACAAAGCATTTAATGCTTCTTGATATTTGTCTAGTTTGGTAGAGGAGAGGATAGGTACCTACCTATATCTGCAATTCTACAATGATCTTATACTGTAAAAAGTCTCACCTGTAGACCTGCTGGTCTTCTTTTCCCATCCTTCAGGCAAGTTATCTCCAGCCATTTTTCCTGAAATGCATAATAAATGTTGAATCAAAGCCAGAAGGTATGGAGAGTCAGTTTTAAAAGTACTGCGCAACAGTGTGGTGGATCCATCAAGCCTGACAGAGGAAAAGTCTGCTATAATTTGAGTCACCGAACCAACTGAACTGGGGAATGGACGAGGATGCCAACTGCTTCAGTGACTCAAATTTAGCAGTCCTTCCATGGTCGGGCTTGATGGATCCCCCACAGTGTTGCTCAGTACTTTTAAGACTGACTCGACTGACTTTACAGTAAGCAGGATTGTAGGTAGGTACCAACATGTTCTTACCAAAATTTTAATTACTAGAATGTAGGCACATACTTATACTTATACTTATACTTATAAAATGCGGAATTTAGGAAGGCCTTTTGGCCTCTTGGATCCGGACGTGACGAGCTTTGTGTCAGTGTGTCACTGCATCAGTCGTTGGAATGTATGGTGTACTTGGCGTGAGCCCAGTGTTCGTCAAGCCTGGCCTTGAAGCTATTGACTGAGGGCGCATCGACGACAGCGGATGGCAGAGAGTTCCAGTCGTTCAGGACTCGTATGCTGAAGGCGTTCCGCCGCACTCTGGAGACAGCTCTTGGCTTGGACAGCTTCCACTCATGCCCTCGAGTTCTGGTGACTGGTCGTCGTCACCGCAGTGAAGAACTGAGATGGGTCAACATCCACTCCCCGTCGAAGCACCTGGTGAGATCATGTTGCCTCGTCGGCGCCGATAGTAGAGCGATGGCAAATTCAGGCTCCGGAGTCTCTCCTCGTATGGCAGGTGGCGGATGTAACACTGGAGATGGAGAATGTAGGCACACAAACTTCACCAGAATTACTCAAATTTGAGTACAGGCTTTGAAATGCGATGTCACGACCGACTTATACCAGAATTTAATGAAAATTAGTCATAGTTAGCCGGCTCAGCTCAAGCTTGAGCTAGAGAGTAGGCACGCCGTCGCCAGC